GAGCAGTCTGCTCTTCAGTTACTTGAGATGTCCTGGTTCGTTCAGTGGTTAAGGCTCGCCATCTCCCTCGTCAGGAAGAAATCCAGTTCTCGTTCCAAGTGAGTGATCATAGGAGTCGGGATCAAACCCAAGGAAAAAAAAAAAACCCAGCCTGTAAACAACAGGACTGTTAGCGAGTTGGCATCGACCCTTCTCGTCACATCACAGCATAAAGTCTTACAGACTTAACAAATGCTTCACTCTATTGGCATAGCCAATCATGTTTGGGTTCACAGTTCAACTAACATAACATCAATTTGATTGTCTATTAAAATAATTCTCAGTAGCTCTGGAAATATAATTACATATGACAACAATTGTTCAGCTCAATAGGCTCAGTTAGATTCTATTACTCTACACTATTCAACAAGAAATACATTCATGACAACAAGGATACATTTAGTTGTGTTTCTATACAGCATTGTGACACCTTGTATATCTGTAACACAATAAATAAATAAATAAATAAATAAATAAATAAATAAATAAATAAATAAATAAATAAAATGTTCTATAACAAAATTCAACAAAATATAAATTCTGGTCCTTTGGTCCACCTTTGTAAAATAATTCCTCCCTAATCAGTTAGCTTTTATTTATTTTTATTTATCTATTTTTTTTATTATTAAATGTTTGGTTAAGGGACGCATTGCTAATTCTATGGCGTTAGCTATAACGCCCCTGAGGACCTTGTACATCTAGGCCGTACCGCCATTAACTGGCGGTTTGAGCCGTTAACTCCTGGGAATCCCATATGCCGTACCGCCGTTAACTGGCGGTTTGAGCCGTTAACTCCTATATGCCCTACCACCGTTAACTGGTAGTTTGAGATGTTAACTCCTGGGATCTAACGTCTAGCAGCCCACTGCTGTCACCTCGGTTGCTGTAATTAGCTTTTTGAATGTAATAATTTACTGAATTTAATCTCATTCACTCACCAACGCGCTCCAACGGTTCCCTCCTACAGAGGATTGGTTCACTCTGTCGTCTCCACACAAATCTATAAGAATGGAATTAATTTGATAAGCTATTTAAGTTTCCTTTTTTTTTTTAAGTTGCATCGTTAGCTTTTTCTCTTCTTTTTTCTTTACTCACCGCGTTGGTTCCAAGTTCCTAGCTCTTATTAGAAGGAGTCAAGTCCGCCTCTCCCTCGGCACCCAAATCAGGTTTCTTCACGGCCTCGACCGTTGTTTTTTTTTTCTCTCTCTCTCTCTCTCTAACCGCTCAGTCTTTGCTTTCTGTATCTGCGTGCTGCACAGCCGTTTGTCTCTCCTCTCGCTCAGCTGCGTCGCACGGTTTTATTTCGCGGAGGCGGGACTTATTTCTCTCAGCCAATGAAATTTCAGATTCCCACCTGGACCAATAGTATACAGCTTTCCTCTTCTGTTTCTGTTAGTGATGTTCAAGATTCTTGTTTTAACCGATGTTTAATATTAAACTCGTTATTTTAGTTATTCACCCTTCCAATAATTCATTATGAAATTATCTATTAGTTAATTAGATATCTATTAATTAGTATTGTTAATTTCCTTAATTTATATTTTATATTTTATCTAAATTGAGGATGGATCATATTAGTAAGCCAATTAGTTAGTACCTCATTAAGGTTCTAGCTTCTGGGTTACACGTCCATGATCAGTTATTCACCCATTCACAGCACACTGGTGGGATTGAGCTACGATGTAGCTACAGCTGCCCCAGGGCGCTCTGACAGAGGCGAGGCTGCCGTACACAGGTGCCACCCGTCCCTCCGACCACCACCAGCAGGCAAGGGGGGTAAAGTGTCTTGCCCAAGGACACTGTTGTGCAGTGACAGACTGAGTGGGGCTCAAACCTGCAACCTTCCAATAAAATGTTTTTATCTTGCATAATTTGGTTCTGTTTGAACATTTTTGTTGTGATTTCTCTGAAACCGGGTGCTAACCTGATGGTTCTGGATACATTGTTTGATAAGAACCTTTGGTTTCCTGCAGAGTTTGTCATGCTTGTAATATCTGAAGGAAGATGATGTAATAAATGTTTTAATAACACTTTTCAAAATGAATAACCACTGAAACAAAACTCTACGAGTTCATGATAAATGACCCGCATGTGTGTAGTGCCTTCCAGAGTCAGAGAACTTTACACTGCAGAGCATCATTCACCCATTCACACGCTGGTGATGAGCTACAGTGTAGTCGCAGCTGACCTGGGAAGCACTGGCGGAGGCGGGGCTACCGAGGTGGAGGCGGGGCTGCGGAGGCGGGGCTACTGAGGTGGAGGCGGGGCTGCCGAGGTGGAGGTGTGGCTGCAGAGGCGGGGCTACCAAGGCGGAGGCGGGGCTACCGAGGTGGAGGCGTGGCTGCGGGGGCGGGGCTACCAAGGTGGAGGCGTGGCTGCGGAGGCGGGGCTACCGAGGTGGAGGCGTGACTGTGGGGGCGGGGCTACCGAGGTGGAGGCGGGGCTACTGAGGTGGAGGTGGGGCTACCGAGGTTGAGGCGTGGCTGCAGAGGCGGGGCTACAGAGGCGGAGGCGGGGCTGCGGAGGCGGGGCTACTGAGGCGGAGGCAGGGCTACCAAGGTGGAGGCGTGGCTGCGGGGGCGGGGCTACCGAGGTGGAGGCGTGGCTGCGGAGGCGGGGCTACTGAGGCGGAGGCGTGGCTACCGAGCACAGGAGCTACAGGTCCTTCTGACCACCACTAGCAGGCGAGGTGGGTTCAGTGTCTTGCCCATGGACACAACAACTATTTGTAGATTTGTGAGAAATGATTTGATGAAAGAGTTAAATAATAAAACAACAAGCGTGCGTAACGTAAAGTGTCCCATAAACACCTTTATCCTGACACGTCTGAGATTTCTTGGCTCAACGTGTCTGAACTTAATGAGACTGACATTCTTTGCTGGCTGTGTTGTAACGACTGCATCCCTCCTCTGCCAAAAATACCAACATGGTCTTTGGTCCGTTTGTTTCCGTTCTCTTACAGGATTTAGATTTCTGAGAGCTTCACGGTCTTTCAGCAGAAAAGCCCAAATGTTCATTTTCACATCTAGTTAGTAGTTTGGAAACGTCCGACTCATGAACAATTACTCATTCCAGCTGACTGACGAGTCTGTTTATACTCTAAAGCATCCAGAAGGATTAGATTTGGTTCGTAGGTCTTTACCCAGCTGCCTCGGCGCTGACAGACACGCAGACGGCCCGAGAGGCTCGGGTTTCACCAGAGACTCGCTCTGCTCTGTGTTTGTGTTTCTGGTCACTATGAAGTGTGACTCGTATCTAATCAGCTCTGACACCAGAAGCTGTGTGTGTCTATGATGGCTGAGAAAAGCAACCAGGATGTTGGAATCCTTTAGGTTTGGAGCCAGTTATGTTTGTTTGTGTTTTATTATGAGGTTTGAAACGGATCAGAGCTGAGAAGAGATCAGGAACTAATGAAAGCACAAAGTTCAGGGAGAAACCAGCTCAGTGGCCTAGTGGTGGACCGTCTACCCTGAGACTGGGAGATCAGGGTTTAAATCCCGGTGGGGTCACACCCATCTGGTCATTTACCAACGGGACCCAGTGCCTCCCTGCTTGACACTCAGCTTTAAGGGGTTGGATTGGGGGGGTCAACGCCCCAAATATTTCCTGAGTGCAGCCGTGCCCGCAGCTCACCGCTCCCCATGGGGATGGGTCGGATGTGGAGGAAAAAGCTTCAGTGTGTGTGATGACTAACGGGACTAACTTCAGTCTTTAGCTAGGTGATATCTTTCTCTGTATGATGAGTGGTGCTACTGCAGGCGCCAGCGCCACCTGGTGGTGCAGCAAGTGTCTGAGTTACGTGAAATAACGTTTTCAGATAGATGCAGAAAAAGTAGTAGCTAAAAACATCTGGAGTAAAGCAGATGGGTGTTAAAACACACACACACACACACACACACACACACACACACACACACACACACACACACACACACACACACACACACACACACACACACGTTCCTTTAGCTCCTTGGCCCTGAGTGATGATGAAAGAGCAGATAGGGAGGCGTTTCATCACACAGGGAAATCGATGCTGAAGTGACAATGCACACTTATATGGACACACACACACACACACACACACACACACACACACACACACACACGCTGAGTTGTAAAAATAGTGTGAAGGTCTGGTCAGCTGCAGGTTTCAGCTTTCAGGGGAGCGCACCCCCCCCCCCCCCCCCCGACACCCACCCCCCCACCCCCCACCCCCCGACCACACAAATTCAGTCACATTAAACTCAGAGCAGAAAACATTGGGGGGGGGGGGGGGGGAAATCGTTCAGGGGATGGGGGATTTGCTGAGAGGAACCCTGACAGAAGACTCAGAATGTTTATCCAGCCAGCGTGTCCCGCTAGCTTTGGTTGCAGCCTCAGATTATAAATAGCCGTTAACAGGTGTTGTTGGCATCATCCAGATTACAGCCGAAGCCTCCCTCATAAATTAGAACAAAACAAGAAGAAAACGAGACAGAAAAAAGCAAATATTCCTCAAGATGCCTTTAGCATCGTTCTGACGTCATGACAACCCACAGGCGTTAATCGTGACACAAGTGAGAACGCGTCACGTTTTATTAGAGATGTAAAACCTAAAATACAATGCAGAGGATGTTCAGGTTTAGCCTCTTATTGAGTCTCCTCTGTGAGCTGCTGTTGAAATATTCGTGTGTCACCTTGTTATCGGAGTCATGGGACAGACAGAGAGAGAGAGTTAATTGAGCCTTAATGGCCAGCTCATCTAATCAGCGCCCCCTGGAGGAGCTGATGGTAAAACTCAGCTTCACTGAATAAAGATGCAAAGATGTTCAAAACCTTTAAAACTTTTGTTTTTTTAAACCTCTGATTTAAGTTTTATTTACAGTGTTGAACGGGAACTCAGATCTGTGCTCGGATTGGCCGTTTGCCAGGAGTGACACATCTTCTGGAGGCGGAGCTACAACTTGGCTCCTTTCCCTCCTAAAATTGGTTTTTGGGGTTGGGAACGGCTCGCAGCAGCTGAGGTTTAATGACTAATTAGTTGACGGCTGTCCTGCTTGTTTCTGCACCTGCTGAATGAAGATTCACGTGACCAAAGTGTTTTTATGTAATCCACATCCTCTCCCTGCCGTTGCCTCACCCCCTCGCTAAATTTGGAGCCGCGGCTCTGGATGTGTTATGATGTAAAAATAGCGGAGGAGGGAAGCCGGCTGAGTGAGGGCAGTTAATCAGAACAGCCGGAGAGGAACCGGGTCAAACCGAAAACAGCAGAATAAGAGCTGAAGCACAGACGTCCACGAGCCGCTTCAGACACACGATTCAAAAAGAGACTAAAGCCCGCAGGTGAGTCGGCTTCCTCCGTCCAACTCCTAGTTTCTGTTCTGTATTCATTTATTCATAAAACAGAGAAAACGGGCTGTTATGGAAAGACACAAACACAACATGTTTGTGCTAAGCTACGTGAAAGTGGCTAACGCTGTAAAGTCAGGGTCATGTGACACGACTTCCTGCAACAACAAGAAGAAATTCAGATAATTTAAGTTTTAAAGCAAATCATTTTAAGCTAATGGGTGTTTGAGTTCACCTTTAAAACCCTCACCCTCACCCTCACCCTTCTGTAACCGGTTCAGAGCGGAGATCCCCAAAACCCAAAACTTCAGAGCTGACCTGGACTCATCAGTCGATCAGAAACAGTTTTACTGATGAGCTGATTTATATTCCTAAACATTAGATCAGACGACTGAACCATGAGAACAGAAGATGATGAGGTCATTGTTTAGTCATCAGAGCATCTCTAAAAGCAGCCTGCTGGTCTGAAGTCTGAAGCCAACTTCTTAATAAGACACCCACTGACATTTGCACAACATTTTGAGTTGTTGGTTATTGTAATATTCTCAGGTTACTTATCTTTCAAGCTTACATTTATTCTTCAGGCTGTTGACTTTAAAGTGTTGCTGTGTGAATATTTAAAATAAAAAATTAGTAACTAAGGAATAACTGTGGAGTTGCTTTTTCCAATGTGTGGTGGGTGGGTGGACTTGGGTTCGGGTGAGAGGCATGCAGGCACGGGGGGGGGGGGGGGGCACGCATGGGCAGTCTCGCCTTGGACACCAAATTACCTAGAGCCGGCCCTGCTTCTTATTATATGTCAGACTCGTTCATTTACCCCGTCAGAATTAATCCTCCAGAATGAAGAGTTCTGATTTCAAACTAGCAACCCGCCATCTGTCACACAATTAAGGAGCTGTGATGGAAACATTGAACTAAACCCGTAAAGGAGACTAGTTGCACATTTATCCTTGTTGAGTCCTTTAATTATGAGTAAAATAGTCGTGATGGATTCAAAAGTCAGACTTTTTTTAAACAACCCTCATGGATTAAACACACGTAGCTTATCTGGAGTTTTACATGGACACGGTGTTTAAACGGAACATAAACCTGTTTCACACACATTCCCGTGTGGATTCGGAACATTTTCACGGTGATAAAAGAGTGAAACCTATGGGGACATGTTGGGATAACCACATGTGAAACATCCTCATCCACACATTCTCACTCCCAGTGCATTAAAAACAAACGCTTGGTCAGCCACCCTCCGCGTCAGACCCCTGACGCCAAAAGTGCCCTTTTTCGTTACTTATGTGCGAAAAGGGTTTTTTCCCTTTTCTGACTGCAGAACCCAATGCAGCGTAAAACTGACGCGATGGGATGTCCGCGGCCAGGACACCAAACAAGCTCATTGTACCTCACCCTAACCTTATCCTCTTATTTAACCTTCCCCTCACCCCTATCCTAATATATGTATATATGCCGATGATCCTAACCTTAACCATCTTGCTAGCGAACACGTTAGTGATGTGTCGGTCGCGAACGAACCGGCTCTAAGAGCCGGCTCTTTGAAATGAATGACAGGAGCCGGTGTCGGTACAGTATCTGCTCGGGTGCAAGATCGGCTCGGGGTCCTTCGACTGCCGATGACGTCAAAGTACGGCAAACCGACTCGGACAAAATACACTACACGTCTATACTGTTGGAAAGAATTTAGCACTTTCGTTATTAAAATAACGTTTCTTAAGATGTAAGTTTGTGTTTATAATGGTATTTGTAAAATAAAACACTATATCTTATTCATAATGTTGAACTCCTCTTTGAGCACATCCCTTGAAGAATCATAGGTATTAGCAACACCTGTGAAATTTGCAGGAAAGAAGTGTGTCCCGTTTATTTAAGTATTTTGTGTTTAGAGTTTTTGACATCTTGTCATAGACTGTAGCTGCTAGCCAAAACTCTGGAGTTAAAAGTTTTCTGGCTTTACTAAAAAACCTGTCTGTACTTATTTGATTGATGGTATTTTTACTTTCTATTAGACTCCAAATGTAATCATTTGGCACGTTTGTAATTCATTATTTGCAATAATGTAATCGGCGATATTAGCATTAGCATTCCTATGGGTTTTTCCATGCATATTAGCATTGCGCTAACCACTCGCTGCCAAATTGCAGCCTTTGAGATTAGAAAATCTCCTGGCTTTACTAAAATACCTGTCTGTACTTATTTGATTGATGGTATTTTTACTTTCTATTAGACTCCAAATGTAATTATTTGGCACGTTTCTAATTCATAATTTGTAATAATGTAATCTGCGATATTAGCATTAGCATTCCTATGGGTTTTTCCATGTATATTAGCATTGCGCTAACCACTCGCTGCCAAATTGCAGCCTTTGCCATTAGAAAATCTTCTTTTGTCACATCGCAATTTCATTGCACATGCAGTTAATCGTTCAGCCCTATTATACTTGCAGCTCTATGCTAAAAGTGTATTTTCAAAGAGGTAATGATGGATTTCTTTGTAAAAGTTGTCCATCTTTCCAATAGAAAAAAATTTGCCTGGACCAACGTCACGTGATAACAACGTTACGTGATTACGTAATTCCGTAAGGTCATGTTCAGCCAATCAACTACTTAGACGTCATCGGCAGTCGACGGACCGAGCCGATCTTGCACCCGAGCAGATCTTGTACCGACACCGGCTCGTCATTGGGAGCCCTCCCCTCCCCTCCCCCCTCCCCTTTTGCTTTGGTGAAAGCCACAGGCGATTGGTCAACATGTGTAACTGCGTGTCCAGATTGTCCACACACAGCAGTAGGGGTGGGGAAGAGGGAGGATCAGACTCAGACACACAGCAGAGCACATGCGGGTGGAGGGAGACGAGAGGGAATGAGGAGGAGGAAAAAGGCGAGAGAGCGAGAGAGAGAGAGAGGAGAGTGTGTCGAAGACGGTGAGAAATTGAGCGCCAGCAGTCGGAAAGTGGAGATTTCTGAAAGTGTTCAGTTATTAAATCCATAGAAATGATAAATATTTGATAAATAGCATTTTTTTACATTAGTAAATCATTTTACACATAGTTTTGCATTATTTTGGTTATAATTGTACTTCACGCAACAGAAAATCTGAGGAGCCACTTGGGAGCCGAAAGAGCCGGCTCTTTTTGGTGAGCTGAGCCAAAAGAACGGAATTCCCATCACTAATGTGTCGGTCGCTCTAAAAGCCGGCTCTGTGAAGTGAACGGAGGGAGCCGCCTCGTCATTGGTCGGGTTTGGACCAAGCCAACGCGAGGGGGAGGTTTCAACTACCACGGTGGAGGTTAAAAGTAGAGGGTATTTGTAACCTCCCACTTGCCAGATGGTATGTTCTAACGTTCCCCTTGGGCGGCAGATACGAAAACTCAGTCAGAATGGATGGGAAACAGATGCTTGATCACAGTGAGAGTAACGTTTTAGGTAGCAAGAGGGCTAAGGTTAGGGTGAGGGGAGGTTATAAATAGTGAAACATTAAGGTTTAGGTGCGGTTAAATGAGCTGGTTCGGTACCGCATCAGCGGACATCCCATCGCATCAGTTTTACGCTGCATTGGGTTCTGCAGTCAGAAAAGGGGAAAAACCCTTTTCGCACATACTGTAAGTAATGAAAAAGGGCACTTTTGGCGTCAAGGGTCTGACGCGGAGGGTAGCTGGCCAAGCGTTTGTTTTTGACGCGCTGGGAGTGAGAATGTGTTGCCTCATCACACGCTCGGCGCTCCTCTGACCAGGGCCTGCTCGCTGTCCCTCGTTCTAGGTGTCGTACTCGTGGGGACCGGGCTTTCTTAGCCCTAGCTCCGTCACTCTGGAACCAGTTGCCACCCTCAGTTAGGCTGTCCCCATCTCTGCCGGTCTTTAAGAGTCGCCTAAAAACCCAACCTCCTCCGCTTGGCGTTCCCTGAACGTGTTTGAAGTCGGCCCTCCTTTTTATGTTTGTATTTCCCTGTTTTACTGGTTTCTTTATCCCTGGTTTCATCCGTTTGTTTTCTGCTTTAATGTTTACCTTTTCTGCACTATTTGAATTGCTTTTATTATCTATTTATTCATTGTGTTTAAGATTTCTTATGTACCGCGTTCAGCGCCTTGGGCCTCCTGACAGGGTCGCGGAAGGCCACCAGGTGTGGAAACCTGTGGGATCATATGTTATCCATATTTAAGAGTGTCCCTAGTGAGAAACACACAAGGCTGGATTATTACTGATCACTTTAACTCTTTATAACCTAACTTTGCATCAGATTGCCCTCAGGAATCGGTTTAAGGTGTGTCTAGTCACATTGTCCTGTCAGATGTTAGTTGTAACAAATGTTTGTGTGCATTTAGTTAAAGATCCAGAATCATTCCACAGATTCATGTCTCTTCTAGGAAACTCCATGTTGTCCAAAAAGGAAGAGAAGCGATCGTTTGGTAATGGAGCTCTGAGAGACCAGTGGGAGAAACGAGCCCAGAACCAGGCAGACCAGTACAAACAGGAAGTCCAGTGGAAGGAGAAGAGCTCCCTGAAAGTGTGAGAATCCAAACAATCCGTCCATCAAACCCCAAGTCTGATTTGTATCCTGCAAAAACCCTCAAGTCTGACTTGTATCCTGTAAAAAACCTCTAGTCTGACTTGAATCCTGTAAAAAACCTCAAGTCTGTCTTGTATCCTGTAAAAAACCTCAAGTCTGACTTGAATCCTGTAAAAAACCTCAAGTCTGACTTGTATCCTGTTAAAAAAAACTCAAGCCTGACTTGTATCCTGTAAAAAAACATCAAGCCTGACTTGTTTCCTGTAAGAAACCTCAAGTCTGACTTGAATCCTGTAAAAAACTTCAAGTCTGACTTGTATCCTGTAAAAAACCTCAAGTCTGACTTGAATCCTGTAAAAAACCAAGTCTGACTTGAATCCTGTAAAAAACCAAGTCTGACTTATATCCTGTAAAAACCCTCAAGTCTGACTTGAATCCTGTAAAAACCCTCAAGTCTGACTTGAATCCTGTAAAAACCATCAAGTCTGACTTGAATCCTGTAAAAAACCTCAAGTCTGACTTATATCCTGTAAAAACCCTCAAGTCTGACTTGAATCCTGTAAAAACCCTCAAGTCTGACTTGAATCCTGTAAAAACCATCAAGTCTGACTTGAGTCCTGTAAAAAACTCAAGTCTGACTTGAATCCTGTAAAAAAAACCTCAAGTCTGACTTGTATCCTGTAAAAAACCTCAAGTCTGACTTGAATCCTGTAAAAAACCAAGTCTGACTTATATCCTGTAAAAACCCTCAAGTCTGACTTGAATCCTGTAAAAACCCTCAAGTCTGACTTGAATCCTGTAAAAACCATCAAGTCTGACTTGAGTCCTGTAAAAAACTCAAGTCTGACTTGAATCCTGTAAAAAAAAACTCAAGTCTGACTTGAATCCTGTAAAAAACTCAAGTCTGACTTGAATCCTGTAAAAAAAAATCTCAAGTCTGACTTGTATCCTGTAAAAAACCTCAAGTCTGACTTGAATCCCGTAAAAAACCAAGTCTGACTTATATCCTGTAAAAACCCTCAAGTCTGACTTGAATCCTGTAAAAACCCTCAAGTCTGACTTGAATCCTTTAAAAAACCTCAAGTCTGACTTGTATCCTGTAAAAAACCTCAAGTCTGACTTGAATCCTGTAAAAAACCACGTCTGACTTATATCCTGTAAAAACCCTCAAGTCTGACTTGATTCCTGTAAAAACCCTCAAGTCTGACTTGAATCCTGTAAAAACCATCAAGTCTGACTTGAATCCTGTAAAAAACTCAAGTCTGACTTGAGTCCTGTAAAAAAACCTCAAGTCTGACTTGTATACTGTAAAAACCCTCAAGTCTGACTTGAATCCTGTAAAAAACTCAAGTCTGACTTGAATCCTGTAAAAAAAAAACTCAAGTCTGACTTGTATTCTGTAAAAAACCTCAAGTCTGACTTGAATCCTGTAAAAAACCAAGTCTGACTTATATCCTGTAAAAACCCTCAAGTCTGACTTGAATCCTGTAAAAACCCTCAAGTCTGACTTTATTCCTGTAAAAACCATCAAGTCTGACTTGTATCCTGTAAAAAACCTCAAGTCTGACTTGAATCCTGTAAAAAACTCAAGTCTGACTTGAATCCTGTAAAAAAAAACTCAAGTCTGACTTGTATCCTGTAAAAAACCTCAAGTCTGACTTGAATCCTGTAAAAAACTCAAGTCTGACTTGAATCCTGTAAAAAAAAACCTCAAGTCTGACTTGTATCCTGTACAAAATATCAAACAAAACCAGAACAACAGACAAAAGCTCAAACCAATCATGAAGCAACAATAAACCCAAACAGAACGACACAGTTGATGCTTGTTGTTGTGTTTCTGTGTTTGGATCCAGACTTTTCTCCAAGTGGAACTACCACTGGTCGCTGGTCAACGGAGACCAGAATAAAAATGAAGTCTCCGAATTCTCAAGAGTCACAAGCAGAACAGACCAAGAAGACCAAAAGCCTAAAATCCGATTTAAAATCGTTCCTCCACCTCCTCAAACTAAACCCGAGCCTCCTCCTCCAGCCCCTACTCCTCCCAGGAGGTCGGCTGCTCCCAAAACCCACAGACCCAAGCGTAAGGTGGAGGTGGATGTGTTTGGGTTGTGCTGGAGGGAGTCCTGGATGAGCCTGAAACCTCCAAAGTACCTTTACCTAAAGGCCAAAGAGTCTGAAACCAGAAGCCAGTGGCTGACCGGCATCCAGCTGACCAACAGCAGGAAGTACAAAACTCCTCCGAGAGGATCCGACGCCGAATCCGTCAGTCCCTGTTGTAAATGGAGTCAGTCCTGGACACAGGTGAGATTTTAGGAACCCAAACCCGTCTGGCTCCAGTCTGGCTGGACCAGGTCCTGACCTATCTCACACCGACATTCCCTTGTAGGGTTAGAGATCAGTCGTGTTGTTGTTTTTATTTTTATTTCTCCCAGGTGAAAATTCCGGCTCAGCTGATCTCTTCCGAGGAAAATCTGTTTGAGTGGGAGATCCTGTTTGATAGGAACTTGGTCAGTAAAGTGGAAATCGGAAAGTATTCTCTTCCTGCTTGGGCTGGAACTTGGAAGATCATGAACTTTCCCTTCAGACAGCAGAAGAAGAGCTGGGACTGTGGTTGGTGGAACTACCAAGATAATCCCAGAGACAAGCTGGAAAAATTCTGCCAGATCCAACAACAAGCGGAGCAGGTGAGGATCGATTCTTTCCTGTTTCACGCCGTCGGATCTTGGTGATAAAACGTTTTCTAAACGTCTGTCAGGAGGAACCTTCAGGCTGGGAGGAGTCATGGAAGCTTGCTGAAAACGACTCAGACGGCAACGACTCATCCTGCATCTATGTGAAATTCCCGATGAGGATAAATGACGTGTTTGTTCCTGGATGGAGTCAATCCTGCCTAATCTCTGCCGCTCCTCCTGAGGAGAACGAGGACCGCCGGAGGAGTTGGAGCTCCTGCTGGGGATACAGGCAGCAGATCAGGTGGGTTCAAAGTCCAACCTCCAGTTTCTTCCAATAATGAAGCTTTTCAACTTTCTAACGAATAAAAGAGAGTCAGGTGTGTTTAGTAGAGCAAAGGAGTTCCACACCTTTATGCCCAAATCATCTGCCTCTGATCTTAAAAGGGCCGCTAATCTGAAATCTGAAAGATCAGGAAGTGCTGCTTTAAAAACATCGATTTAAACATCCATCCATTATCGTCCGCTTATCCGGGTCGGGTCGTGGGCGCAGCAGCCTAAGCAGGGCCAGACTTTCCTCTCCCCAGCCACTTAGGCCAGCTCCTCCGGGGGAATCCCAAGGCGTTCCCTGGCCAGGTGAGAGACATAGTCCCTCCAGCGTGTCCTGGGTCTACCTTTAGGTCTCCTCCCGGTTGGACGTGCCTGAAAAACCTCACCAGGGAGGCGTCCAGGAGGCATCCTGACCAGATGCCTGAGCCACCTCAACTGGCTCCTCTCGATGTGGAGGAGCAGTGGGTCTACTCTGAGCCCCTCCCAGATGACCGAGCTTCTCACCCTATCTCTAAAGCCTGATTCATGCTTCTCCGTCAGCTCCGCAAGGGACAGACACGCACGGATTGATGGAAGCGTTCTGTTCTCATACTTCTCCGTCTCCTGGGGAGTGTTGCAAAGCAATTGCCCGCCAGGACTGCAGAGGGCGTAGCGCTGTTCTGTGGTATCCTGTCATGTATCGGTCCAAGATCGTGTGTTTATATTGTGTTTTTTGTATATAAGAGACTTTTTAACACAGACAAATTTGTCTCTCATCCTCCTCCACCTCTTCAAGCGCTCGCCACCTCTAAACCCACGTTTCCTGTCATTTCCATCCACAAATAAAACGCTTGCTGCGCATCTTTTCACTCCTCCAGTCACGGAGAATTAAACATTCATATTTTAGAGTTTTTTTCGCGAGGTGTTCTTCAAGCTGCTCCGTGTCTGCCGCTAGTTATCCTCGGCTCTCTTTATGTTTTTGAGGGCGCAATGGCGGCGCTGTAGATGACAGCGGCGTCCTGACCAATCACAAGCTTGCGTTGTCCGTCTCGACTGACGGATGTTTAGAAAAGAGAGCTCGACTCCGTCCGTCCTTGCGGAGCTCTCCGGCAAGCCCGCAAGGACGTTGCGTGTCTCCGCTCTGACGCAGACGGAGAAGCATGAATCAGGCTTAAGGGAGAGCCCAGCCACTCTTCAGAGAAAACTCATTTCAGCCACTTGTATCCGCGATCTTGTTCTTTTGGTCACTACCCAAAAGCTCACGACCATAGTAGCGTTGGAGAAGACCTGGAGGTCACCAAAACACCGGAATGCTGCCCGGAATGCTGTGTGCTTTCCCAAACCAAAACCAGGGCTCTGCTAACCATCTCTAGCCTTGCCATCAGGAGGGATCATAACTAGCTCTGTCCTCCAGACTTCTGGAATGTTCTAACTTTAATAAAGGCTCTTAGTTGTCTCATACAATCATTTTACCACTGGTTAATTACAATTACATTACTGTTCCGTCTAAAGTTACGATTACCTGACCGTAACGAATGGACCACCATCACCGTTTATTGCCGTACACCAAACGAATCTACGTGGTGATTTAATAATGATTTTATCATCAGTTATGTCACAAATAATCATTATTAGAATATTAACAAATGACTGTTACATCATATTTACTTCACATAGGAACTGAAATAAGCCTTTTTAAGGCCCAATCCCAACACTCGCCCTGCGGTCGTCGGCAGCGTGCACGTGGAGGATGTGCGCCGAGGCTTCCAGTGCGTGGTTCACAAGTGTGCCGAATGAAGACGGGGAGCGTCGCGTCACCGATCAGGCCAGGATGCTGGTCGCTGTGATCCTTCTTTCAAAAAGCTTTATAAACAACTTTCAAACAAACAACCAAACGGATATTTGAAACATGTTTACGTTCATCGCTGCTTTGTCTAAAAGTGTCAGAGCATCAACTAATCGTCCTGAAATTAACTCATTTCATTAGTAAATAAATATTTTCAGTAAAGGAACTTGAGCCTTTTCTCCCGCAGCGATGGATTGTGGGTAATACTTCACCCAAGTCCGCATCGATGCAGACTTGGATGAAGTGCGGATCGAGGGTGCAAAAGGAGCGTGATCAACTTCCACATTTGAGAATCGGGACACGCCATTGTAACGTGATGACGGAGTCATTTCTCCCCTCTAACAGCTGTTTTCTGTTGACGCAGCGCCAGAGTGCATGAAACAGCCAAGGTCATGCATTCACTTCTAAACTGTTTACATTCCAGCGATGAAGACAGAAGAACGAAGAATGAACTCTTTTCTTTTATTAAGCCAAGAACTCTATTTTCAATAAAAGCTAATCAAAACAACTGTTAGTCAATAACAACCATGTGACCGATCTGTGAAATCACAATGTTATGATTAATGTTTTAATAAGTAAATGACGTATTCTAGCCACGCCGATACACTAAGATAAATAATCACATGACACATTGTTGTCACTGATCCAATCAGAACCTTCACTCTGAAGCGTGGAAGAGTCTCTGTGGTGTTCATTTAATCTGTCAGCTGTGATTCGTCCAGAATCGTAAACATCAAGATTAATAAACGAGAACGCCATTTTGAGTTCAGTATTCAGCCGGATCTCCAGATCCCCTGAAGTTCATCGCTAAGTGAAGTACGGACCGGCCATCTGTACTTTTTACTTTTAAGCTGAGAACTGCCAAGCTGGGAAATCAACAAAACAATGGTTCCTTCAGAATAAAAGCTGAACTCGCTGACACAAAGGGGCGTCCCTTTGACGCTGTGAAACACCTGTCGCTTTTACCTGGAGACTATCCAAAGACTGGTTTGTCGTGCTGAAGACGCTGTTTCATCGGCTCCAGTACCAGTGGAAGGTCGTGAACCTGGCAGCCTGATCTAAGACGGAGGTCTCACTGACGGTAATGTAGAGCAACACAGACGGCGTCTCATGTTGTTTTCTGACCACGGTTCAAACGTTGATCAGTTAGGAGCAAAACATCGTCTCCCACTCAGACTCGCTTCTCCAGAACGGAGGTTCTGAACTGACATCGCACTTGCACCGCTGGTCGACAAAACTAATAGAATCAACCACAGAATCCCATTTACAGGTGTGAGACGGACGGTGGCGTCAAGGTTTCTAACATGACAACAACTGATTTAACTCATTCACTGCCATTGACGACTAAAGTCGTCATTTGCATTTTTTACTGTTTGAACATCTGAACGAGCCCCCGCGCTGAGAGAACAAACATCTCAGCCCTGAAGCCGATCTTCATCTGCATACGTCACAGATCACATGATCAGGAAGCAACACATCCATGTGCTTGGAGATCGTTTTGGGACGTTCCTGTAAAAAAAGTGAGGCGCGAACCGGAAAAGCGTCTGCCGATCACAATTCGGCAACGGATTATGAAAGAACGGATAACGCTCAAAACACTCGGCTTCTTCCTGATGTAAGAGGTGAGTCTCTTTGTTTTGGTTGTTTTGGCATCGACATCATGCTAGCGCGCAACGTTCTGTGACTCTTAAAAAAACAGTAAAAACGGTGAGAAACGCTGGCAGCGAATGAGTTAAGACAACAGAAATACACTCTAGTCCCCACTCCTACTAGCCGTTAGCTCATCAGTCCTGAACAATAGAAACTGTTATTTCTGAAGTGAGGCTGTTCAGGAAGCTGTCCATCAGGGGAGGGTTTTGGTTTCTAACACAGAAAATCCGTTTTGGGGTTTTTTACATTGTCCGTCAGGCCGTAGCGAGGATGCTCCAGAACCCACCCCCTCTGTGTAAACTGGGTACAACGTACTGGAACATCCCTGGAACAGATGTGGTCCTGAAGGCAGCAGAAGTAAACCTGAATCTGACGTCTGGTGTTTTACCTCATCAACTCTAAACCTAAACTCTGACTTTAACCCGCAGGTGGCGTCAAGCATCCATCGTGTCTCGTCATCAGCACAGCGCCGCGCTGAGCTGGAAACGGAAAACCATGAACCTCCTCCTCATGTCAGAGCTGGAGAAGGAAATAAAGGATGAGTGGACGGAGGCTTGGAAATCTCCCAAAGGATGGGCTAGACCAGAGGAGGAGGAGCAGGAAGAGGAGGAGGAAGAGGAGGAGGAGGAGACGACAATGGATGAAACTGAGAAAGAGAGAGGTGAAGTGGACAATAAAGGCATAGACATTGAGAAGGGTAAAGTGGTGGAGGAGGAGGAGGAGGAGAAAGATGAAGAAGTGGAGGAGGAAGAGGAAGAAGAGAAAGATGAAGAAGTGGAGGAGGAAGAGGAAGAAGAGAAAGATGAAGATGTGGAGGAGGAAGGGGAAGAAGAGAAAGATGTAGAAGTGGAGGAGGAGGAGGAGAAAGATGAAGAAGTGGAGGAGGAAGAGGAAGAAGAGAAAGATGAAGAAGTGGAGGAGGAAGGGGAAGAAGAGAAAGATGTAGAAGTGGAGGAGGAGGAGGAGGAGAAAGATGAAGTGGAGGAGGAAGAGGAAGAAGAGAAAGATGTAGAAGTGGAGGAGGAGGAGGAGGAGAAAGATGAAGTGGAGGAGGAAGAGGAAGAAGAGAAAGATGAATATGTGGAAGAGGAGGAAGAGAAGAGAGATGAAGTGGAGGAAGAGGAGGGGGAAGAGAAGGAGGAAGAAGTGAATGAGAAAAAGGAGGGAAAAGCTGTAAATCGACATGAAGAAGAAAAGGGGGAGAAAGGCGATGAAATATCCAAACACTTCCAAAAGAAGGCTGAGGAAGATGAGGAAGAATATGATGATGAGGAGGAGGAGGATGAAAGAGCTGAGAAGGAGGAAAATGATGAAGACATAAACAAGACAGGTGAGAAACTAAACAATGAAAAAGTTGTGAATAAGAAAGAGGAGGAGGAGAAATGCAGGGAGGAAGAGGAGGATGAGGAGAAGGATGATGCACAAGTGAAGAGGAACAACAGTGTGGGTCAGGAGGAGGAAGATGCTTTGGAAGAGCCGGACAGAAACAGAGGAGATGAATATGAGGAAAACAAATCCGACAACAGAAAGAGAGAAGAAGAAAATGAGGAGGAAGAAGAGGAGAAATATCTAGAAGCAAAAGTAAATGACAGCATGAGCCTTGAATTCAAAAAGGAGGAGGAAGAGGAGGATGAAGAGGAGTTCTGGGACTTGGATGAAGATGAGAGGAGTGAAAGGAAGAGAAAAGAGGAGGATGAAGAGCTGCTGAATGAATCCGATGAAGAGGATAAAACGAGAGATCAGGAGGAAGATAACCAAGAAAAAGATGATGACGAAGAGGAGGGTGAAGCAGAAAAGACAGATAAAGGACAGAAAAAATTAAACGATGATGAAGATCAAACAGAGGAAGAGGATAGAGAAATGAATAAAAACCTGGTGGAAGATGACGAGGATGAGAAAGAAAATAAAGATCAAGAGAAGAATGAAAAGGATGAAGAAGATGAAGAGGTATATGATGAAGAATGGAAGGAAAATCAGGAGGAGAACCTTGGAGAACAAAAGAACGCAGATGAGAATGAAACCGAAGAGCAAGAAACCAGTCAAGATCACGAAGAAGATGTGGAGGCTGAAGATGAAGACGAGGAAGATCAAGGTGAAAATGAAGACCATGATGTCCACCACGAGGAGGCAGAGGAAGAAGGAAATGTCAGTGGAGAAAAAGAGGATGAGGGTGAAGCAGAGGAAGATGGAGACACCGAGGAGAAAGAGGAGAAAACATCTGATAAGCAGGATGAAGAGGTTTGGAAAGGGGAGACTTCGTCTACAGAGAAAACCACCGAAGAAGAAAAAACAACAAAGAAGAAAAGACTCCGGCGTAAACCTGCTGCTCCTCTGCATTTGCAGTTCCACAAACTCAACACTTCCTTCTCCTCCTGGAAGAGGTCGTGGATGGTGGCGGTCGCCCACAAAGGAGGAGACGAAGGTGAGGAGCAGGAGGAGGAGGAAGGGGGGGACCTGGAACTCCGGGCCTGGAAGGATTCCTGGAGGATTTGTCGTTGGAAGAAGCCGAGTGATGAGGAGGTGATTTGTTTCTCCATGGAGCACCGGAGTCGGAAATCCATGGATCCGAAGGAGTTGGTGTTGGGGGAAGAGTGGGACCTGAGCTGGAGAATGACCTCAGCAAAACGGGAGGAGGAGGAGGAGGAGGAGGAGGAGGAGGAGGACAGCGGAAATTTTCTCTGACATAAGGACACTTTGAAAACTGCTGAGGAAGCCGGAGCTACCGGTGTACCTCTGAGGTCAGAGGTCAGATCAGCTGATTGACCTCAGTGTACCTTTAAGTCTAAACTGATTTTCTATTGGTTGCTGAGTTTAGAGCAACTTTCTTCTTTTCACAGCATCAACATGAGATTTTATTATTTTATTTTCAAAATTCACTTCATCTTAAAATTGTATTTGAATTTTTACTTTTTAACCCTCCCACTGTCCTAATGGGTGTGACCCCGCCAGGAAAGTTGACCATTGAGCAGGGTTGATGGTTTATCCGTTGAGGTCCACGTGGCAGGGGTGAGGTGGTGCTCACTCCTCACCCCTGCCACGTGGACCCAAGCGATAAACCATCAATCCTGCTCAATGGTCAACTTTCCTGGCGGGGTCACAACCATTACGACAGTGGGAGGGTTAAAGGAACAATAAGTAAGAATTGTACAGTGAAATATTCCCAAAACAGTCATTCAGATCTATGGTGCTCCTGCCGTAAAACACCCAAGAGTGTGAACTCCATTTATCTGCTTATCAACAACTTACTGTGTGTGACTCATCTTCACTTGCCATCCAGTAAATAAGTTTTTCCTTAAGAAATGGCCTGCAGTACCCACATTTAACCACAATGTGTCATTGTTACTTCATTCTTACATTTTGCACCTTTAATGAAATTCAATTCAATTCAAGTTTATTTATATAGCGCCAAATCACGACAAGAGTCGTCTCAAGGCACTTCACATAATAAACATTCCAATTCACAGTTCAATAAGCCAATCAGAAATAATGTGTCCTATATAAGGAACCCAGCAAATTGCATCAAGTCACTGACTAGTGTCAGTGACTATACAGCAATCCTCATACTAAGCAAGCATGCAGCGACAGTGGAGAGGAAAACTCCCTTTTAACAGGAAGAAACCTCCAGAGAATCCTGGCTCAGTATAAGCAGCCATCCTCCACGACTCACTGGGGATGGAGAAGACAGAGCAGACACACACACACACACACACACACACACACACACACACACACACACACACACACACACACACACACGCGGACAAATTAGAGAAACCAATCAACCTGACAGTCATATTAAAGGTGTGGGAAACTCAGTTAATCAGTGCATGTGCGGCAGTCTCTGGTAGGAATGAATGCCTTGCAGGTTGCACTCGGAGCAAAAAAGCCCTAAAGCACTTGGATCAGCAGGGACAAGCCTGCTGCAGCAGAGATTGGCGTGACACGGCAGGATCTGGAGTCTTCTCTTTCCTGATATATGGACATCTCTCCTCTGATTGGCTAACAGCAACACGACCATCATTGACTCTGTTTGCTCTGTAAGTTGATGTTTTATCTCCACAAATAACACGAGCATGGAGGAGTTCTGCTGTGTGGTGGGGTTGCTAATGCTAACATTTAGCTTCTACTAGCTGAGACGTTCTCTGCTGTTTCCTGGACGCTAAATCAACAACAGCCTTCCTCGTCGTGAGTCCAGATGGGTGACTCCATGAATGTAAGTGACAGTGTGACATAGATCTGTCAGGATTTTCTAATCCTAGAGTTTCACTGTCTGTTTTCTATCAGAAGCTACTGCAGGAGATAGGTGTAGGAGACTATCTTCATGCTCAGCCTGCATAAAACACTCAGAGTGACATTAGACTCAGAAATAATCATTGAAAATAGTTTTTAGTGAACCACACCTTTAAATCTAAATATTAAATCCAAATATAAAAAGTTGTGTTTACTAGCTGAATATAAATTGTTAAATCTGAATGTTTACAGACACAACTCGTACAGTTTTTCTAAATCTAAATGTCATCTTAACAAATAATTTAAATAATTCTAAGTGGTACATGGTGCAATTAAACAAAAAATACCTTGAAAACTAAAAAAAAAAGACTAAATTAGAAATTTTAACATTCAAAGATAATATTTTTATTGTAAATCTAATTACTGATTGTTAAATCCACAAAACTTGTACCGGTAAGTCTAAATTAGAAATCTAAAACTTCAACCTAAATAGAAAATGTCAAATATAAATGTTTAATGAGAAATAAAATTCTTACATTCTAAATATTGACGGTAAAAGTAGATGTCTGGATTATTTCTTTTATTTGATGTTGTTGATCTAGTGGCTGATCACTCCACGACATTGTTAACTTTCGTGTTTACAGCTGAAGCAACGACTCTCGTTCACAAACGCACTCGTCTAGCCGACAAAACAGAGCTAAAACACGTAGTTTTACAATTATTATGCTCGAATTGTGTTTTCATATATTTATATTTGAAAGACTTACTTGTCCATGAGAAAGGTCGCAACTCTGCTTCAACTGAGGCACGTCCTTGGACGCTGGAGCAGGCTCTGTGATTGGCATCTGTATGTAAGCGGTAGTCCAACGCAGTGCTATGCTGATGACACACAGCTTTATGTTTCTACCACCCAGTCTGCTCTCCTTCCGCTACCTTGATAATTGATTGAATCTCAGAACGCAGGACCTGGTTTTCCTCCAACTTTCTCCAGCTCGATCCTAGGAAAACTGAGGTTCTCCTCATGGGCACTAAAACTGCTCTGAGCTTCCTATTAGTACCATACCACCTTTATTTCTATCGCACATTTCAAAAACAACACGTGAGCCGACCAAAGTGCTGCACAAAACAATCACAAAACAACATCACGATACAGATAAGGCGTGTTTCTGGCCTTGCGAGGCGATGTCTTGCGAGGCCAGGTGCCTTACTTGTGAGGAGGCTGTCCTTCCTTGGTCAAAGAAAACAGTTGAATGGAGCAGACTTGCATCACGTGACCGCGGCTTGCACAGCGGTCACGTAACGTCACGTGACACGGGAGATAACGTTATATTTTACATGTATTAGTTTCAATATAAAGATATTATAAAATTGTCCCCAAAGTAGCTGCCGGCTTCTGATCCGCCATTCTTTTGAAAATACTGCGGTGTATGCTGGGTAAGTGTTGAAGGCTAGGCTACAAGATGCCTCCCATGTTTCCTCGCTCAGCTAGCTAAACGGCTAACAAACGGAGAACACACGCCTCGGTAGAACATGAACATTGGAACATGACTTGGCGGCTCCTGATGACATATCTCCTAGGCAACTGGGGCGGGGCCAAGACATCAAGGCGAGGTTCCTTGGCATTGAGAAACACCCAAGAGCAATCAGTAAAAACATAATAAAAGAGTCACTGTCCAAAAGCCAATTTGTAAAGGTGAGTCTTCAGCCTAGATTTCAAAACAGCAATGGATGAAGACCGCCTAATAGAAAGGGGTAGTGTGTTCCAAAACACTGGGGCGACGCACACAAAGCTCGCTCCCCCCTTGTTTTATATTTCATGGGCGGAGTACAGAGCAGCAAGCAGTCAGCTGACCTCAGTGAGCGAGCCAGTACATAAGGTGTAAGCAGATCTCATAGTAAGATGGAACGAGACCATTTAAGGCATTAAACACAAAAGCAGAATTTAAAATCTTACCCTGAATGATCGACAGGCGGATTGGTTCGGGGTCTGCGGTGATGCGGACGCTGAGCCGATCTGTCGTGGTGAAGAGGGAGCTGAGCCAGAAAGCCAGGCTCTCGATTTACCGGTCGATCTACGTCCCAATCCTCACCTATGGTCATGAGCTTTGGGTAATGACCGAAAGAACGAGATTGCGGATACAAGCGGCCGAAATGAGTTTCCTCCGTAGGGTGGCCGGGCTCAGCCTTAGAGATAGGGTGAGAAGCTCGGACATTCGGGAGGGACTCGGAGTAGAACCGCTGCTCCTCCTGATCGAAAGGAGTCAGTTGAGGTGGTTTGGGCATCTGGTCAGGATGCCTCCTGGACATAGGGTCGTCACGGTGTGAAAATGTAACCTCACGGTTATTGTGACCAAAATTACCATGGTTTTCGGTATTATCGCGGTATTTTTTTTAAACGTTTTACATTTTCAGACAACTACATAAATCCTGTATATCAGGAAAATATTGTCCTCAGTTTGTGTCTAAATTTTGCCTAAAATGTGTTATTTTGTAATTATGTTGTTTATTTGTTTACATTTTTCCCGTTTAGTCTTTAAAATACCAATATTTGCCCATAACTTCTTATTTTTTGTATGTTTGATCATTTTAAAAATATTAGACCAGATGATACTCAGTACTCAAGTAGCCTTCTAATCAGATACTTTTTACCCTTACTTGAGTAATAAACCCTATATCAGGAAAATATTGTCCTCGGTTTGTGTCCTTCCAGTGAGCTTTGCAGATTTGGGAAAATGTCATCAGGCAGTAATCATTGTTAAATTCATAATTATTCTCGGAGAGAGACCAACTCTTATTTGCCCCTGGGAGCCCCGTAATGCATAGCGTCATTTCAACATGGGGGTGTCCGCGACACGGTTTATATGCAGGTAGCAGCGCTGCGGCTGCTTTATATAGCGACTCGTTGCATTCTCCCTCAACCCAAATCCTCGGATCACACATTTTAGCTAAAACGCTAACGTTAGCTTGCCTTGCGTTGACTGTAGAGTTGTGGGTGATGGTCACGCAGATGTGTCATGAGATTTGAAGCGTTGCTGCCTTTCACAGACACTTTTTCTGCACGTGCTGCAAACAGGATAGCCGTCTTCTATCAACTGTCCCTCGGCATTCTTCAGATATCCAAAAAATGCCCGTACTTCCCACTTTGTCTTCTTTGAGGGATAATAAATGTCCTGAGCGCTGCCGTCTCCTCCTTTGGCCATTATTTCAGCTTTAGCTTCAAGAAATTTTTGGTTGCAAACAACAAAGTGCGCATGTGCCGCCGGCAACTTCAGCAGACGATACGGTGGCTGGTAAGGGTCACCGCGCCTACACCGCAGCCACGGTAATCCACCGAGATAACATATGTTTTAAAAAACAAGACTGTTATTATTATTGTCAACTTTTTTGCCGGGGTTTACCGCTACACCGGTTTCCGTGACAACCCTACCTGGACGCCTCCCTGAGGAGGTGTTTCGGGCATGTCCTGCCGGCAGGAGGCCCCCGGGTCGACCCAGGACACGTTGGAGAGGTTACATCTCCAATCTGGTCCGGGAACTCCTTGGGGTCCTGCTGGAGGAACTGGTGAAGGTGGCCGGGGAGAGGACGGTCTGGAGCTCCCTAGTTGGGATGCTGCCCTCGTGACCCGGACCCGGATAAGCGGAGGAAGACGACTACGACGACCCTGAATGTTACTGGAAGTCAGTGTAAAATCGCCAGAACCGGAGTGATGTGATCTTGAGTGTACCTCAGTTGCCTGCCTGTCTCTGGTCAAGAGCCTTGCTGTTGTATTGGACTCTGGATCCCCTGCGCCCCTCACTTACTGACCACACCGCCGCCATCTTAGTGAACCGTGCGGTCACTTCCCGACAAGACTGTTGTAATTCACTTCTCTGTGGCCCACAACACAAATCTTTACGTAAACTCCAGATGGTCCAGACCGCTGCAGCTCGTGTTATTGTGAAGACAGCGTTTGCTTCCCACATTGCCCGTGTTCTTCGGCAGCTGCACTGGTTACCGATGAAATCCAGGATCACATATAAACTGCTTCCCCTCACATTCAAGGCTATCCACAATCTTGCACCATCGTATGTCTCCCAGCTTTTCCGAGCCACTACACCGTCTCTGTCGCTTCGCTCCTCTTTCAATCCTCCCGCTCAGCTTACCACCATGAGTAGACGAGCCTTCAGCAGATCTGCCCCTCTCCTGTGGAGCTCTCTACCGACTGATCTGAAGAACATTACGTCGCTCATGCTTTTTAAATCTAAACTAAAGACATCTTTTTAAGGAAGCCTATTCACGGGAACTGTGCTTTATGTTCTTTTAACTCGTTACTGTATTGTGTTTGAGTGAAAGAAAGACGCCTTAAATAAAATGTATTATTGGGGCGACAGTGGCACAGGAGTTAAGCGCTCACCCTGTAATCTGAAGGTTGCAGGTTCGAGCCCCGCTCAGTCTGTCGCTGTCGTTGTGTCCTTGGGCAAGACACTTAACCCACGTTGCCTGCTGGTGGTGGTCGGAGGGACCGGTGGCGCCTGTGCTCGGCAGCCTCGCCTCTGTCAGTGCGCCCCAGGGCAGCTGTGGCTACATCGTGGCTCATCACCACCAGTGTGTGAATGTGTGTGTGAATGGATGAATGACTGATTGTGTTGTAAAGCGCCTTGAGGGGTTCCAGGACTCTAGAAGGCGCTATGTCAAATACAGACCATTTACCATTATTATATAACGCTGACCGGCACTCAGTTCATATTGCATTGGCCTCTATGGTACAGGGGGCGGGCTTTGTGGTATTATACATAATTATACAGAATTCCTGAAAGGGGAAAACTCTGGACCGCAGTTTTAAACCTAAAGTAATAAAAAAATAATCTTATTGTGTAGAAAACTGGGGAGCAACATACAAAAACTATACACAACCCTTATTAATTTTACAGAAAAGAGCTCTGAGAATCATCAATTATAGTGGCTGTAGAGATCCATCGAACCCATTGTTTATTAAATATAAATTACTGAAATTTCATGGTTTAAAAGACTGGAAAATCTTACAAACCATGTATAAAGCCAATTTAGGTATTCTGCCAACAAACATTCAGGGATATTTGAAAAGAGAACTAGTAATTACACGCTGAAAGACACTGATGTGTTTACAAAACCTAGATTTAGAACTAATATTAAGGAGTGGAATATATCTGTACATGGTGTTAAATTATGGAATAACCTTAAAAGGGAAATAAAAAAAAAACTCATTTAATATATTCAAAAATACCAATTAGTGTACTAAAATATTATGAAAATGTAAATTAAATCAATGATCATGATCGCTCTGGAATTTAGACCAGGAAAAAGTTTAAAATGAATCTGTGTGTGTGTGTGTGTGTGTGTGTGTGTGTGTGTGTGTGTGTGTGTGTGTGTGTGTGTGTGTGTGTGTGTGTGTGTGTGTCTGACTAATGTAAATTGTATAGATTATTTATTCTGGAAAAGGGGGCAGAAATGAGAAGATGTTTTTCTTCATTCTGCTCCTTTTCGTTCAAATTTGATTTTTTTGTTGTTATGTATATCTTATTGTTTATATGTTTTATTTGTTTTCATTTAGAATAAAATAAACAAATTTAAAAAAGTCAAATTAATTTGGCAAACATTATTCGATCCCAAAGGAAACGTTTCTGAGTGATGAAAGCTGGTGTAATGTCGCCCTCTGGTGGTGAGATCGTCACCAGCCTGTTTTCATCTAACTTTCAAGCCTATAAAACTGCTTGTGCACAACTACAGATAGAAATCACACCTATCCCGGAAACGTGTTCAGGTGTTTCTGGATCTGATGAAAGTAGAGCTCCTGTGTTGGACTTATGATGCTCTTCCTGTTGAATCCGTGAATGATGCCGTTTTCTTTCATCCGTGCTGAAACTGCTGTTTTATGATGGATCTCCACACAGTTTAATGTAACGTAAAATTATTATTATTTAAGACATTTTCACAAATGATTCACAGCCCGGACGTTCATGTCCCCGCGAGTTATGGTGAATGAGTGTTTTATTGATCTGCCTCCGGTGACCCCCGTGACCCCTGTGACCCTGTTTCCGCTGTTTTCTATTAAACCTTTTTAAACACTAATCATTTGAACGCAGCTCCAAGCAGAAATAAGACTGTCAGATTTAAAGTCCTCATATTCAGTCATGCAGGTACGGCTGGTTGCCATGGTGACAGGTTTACAGGGAGGGAACATCGCAGCCTGGACCTGGAGTGAGTTTTATGTGACTTACCTGAGAATCAGGGTGAGGTGTTTTCCATGTAAACAAACAAACTTGTAAATAAAGTTTAAATGAAAAATCTCTGAAGGACTCTGTGGTTTGCTGGCTGCATTTAACAACGCCACCACCAGAGAGAAGTCATCCCACCCGGTTCTGATGCTCGGAACACGGGTCTAAAATGGTTAATAAATAATTAAAAATCCAAACGTTTTTACAGCAGAACATCACTAATAATGAAAGCTGCCTCATCCCATCGTATCACAACCACATCGGTGTTTCGTTTGTTCTCCGTTTTGTTGATTTTACTCCAAATCCACCAGAAAGCTAACATTTATGCACATTCAGACCAAACCAAGTCATCCTTTTGCTCCATTTTTCACTTTTAATGAAGCTGCTGCTTTTCCAGGGATCTCATATTTTGTTCTTTCCTGCTTTCGGATTTGCTCGTATTTTCTCTCTGAGACATGGAGACGCGCTTCACTGGAACCGTACCACTCATTCTTTGAACTGGACTTCAACTCTTACACGAAAAAGACTTTATCTGTATTTTGTTTGGTTTAATGGTAGTAAAAACAAAAAAAGTACCAGTTTGAATCAACAAAATGTTACTGTTCTGGCTGAGGGACGCACAACATCACTGTGAGGGCCACAAACAGCCCGCGGGCCACATTTTGGACTTAGAAGAAACACCTGGATGACACAAACATGTTGTATGGAGCCTCAGAAGCAGGTCAGAACCAACACGAGCCCTCTTTGGGTCTGCAGCGGCACTAAAACGCCTCAAAAAGGACTGCTCTGAACCCAGACAAGACAAAAACAAATTTAATATTAATTTGAAGCTACAGTAACAACGGTGTATCTGTGGTTTATCCTGCAGGTTTTTGGTAGAAGACATTTTACTGAACTTAATGAAACTTAATTAAAAATAACAACTGAAAGAAATAAAAATGAAAGAAGGATGAAATACAAAGACGTAAATATTAATTTACAGAATTATGCCCAACATGATATCATATTAGTTTGCATTTTTGCATAAGTCTTGATAATAAATGGAAAAACGTGGACATTTTTTAATCTGGATCACAAACGTACAAATCATTTAGTTTTATTCGTTTGGTTGTTTTTGGGTTTCCTGAATAATGGAAAAAGTTCCAAAAACATGTTTTAATCAGTTTTAGGAAGTTTTTAACAAACTCGAGTCTCAGTAATTAAAAACTAAACCTGATCAAACTGAACGCTAGCGTCCTAGATCCATCCAGACCTTCACAGAGGTGGACCCACCGGTTCTGGTGAGCCGTGTGCTTATCATCATCATGCATGAGTCCTCCTGCAGAGCTTTCTCATGCAGACCTCCTGTCGCTCCTGCTGCTGAGGATTAGCATCCGCTTTGTGATGGTGACAAAATTCATTTTCACCTCCGAATGGACCGTGTGCGTGTGTGTGTGTGTGTGTGTGTGTGCGTGTGTGTGTGTGTGTGTGTGTGTGTGTGTGTGTGTGTTTGGGGGGGGGGGGGCTTTTCTTCTGGTTCTGATTTCTGGTCACTCATAACTTTGACGTTGACAGAAGTGGGTTTGTTCTGACAGGGGTCCGGCTCATCCCTTGAGTTGGAGTTTTTACGGAAAACCAGAAACTTCTGATGGGATTTGGCACCAGCGGGTTGAAAACCCCGCTCAGATCTACAGAACATCAGGAGAACTGCTGATCCAGATCCAGTTCAAAGTGTGAGAACGACAAAACAAGATATGATGACCGCAGAAAGAGTCCTGGGCGAGATCAGGAGCTTTATTTTTCAGATTACTACAGCCATGTGTGTGTGCGTGAGAGAGGGAGATAGAGAGATAGAGGGTGTGGGTGTGTGCGCGCGTGCATGAGAGAGAGAAAGAAAGAGAGAGAGAAAGAGTGAGTGTGGGTGTGTGCGCGCGTGCGTGAGAGAGAGTGAGTGTGTGAACGAAAGAAAGAAAAATGAAAGAAGGTGTGTGAGAGAAAGACGGAGAGAGTGAAACAGAAAAAGAGAAATGTTGATTTTTGTATTTTAGCTCATTATTGTGTTGCTTTTACCCATATTTATACGCGCGCGCATGTGTGTGTGTGTGTGTGTGTGTTATTTTAATAAAAACTTTGTCACGGTGAGAGTAAAATGTTAAAACCTCTGTTTTATTCTCATTTATTTCGGTTTTAATAATTAAAACTTTGAAATTCATTTAAAAAACTGAGATTATTTCAACGTTTAATGTAAGAATCTGAAGTAAAACTGAAAACTTCCCGTTCGGCTGGTTTCAGGCATCGTGTTTTCCCACCTGCTGTCGGCAACGGGGGGAGACGGGGAGGGGCGTGGCTTCCGAAGCCCCGCCCCTGTCACCTTAATAAAAGTCATCTGTGAAGTCATGGTCAGACCAGCTGACCAGCAGGAAACTTTCTCCATGATTTTTCTAGTTTTTCGGAATGTTTTAGAACTTTTCGTGTTGGAGGATGGCGCATGCGCAGATGGTCAGGTGAGTCCCACAGGAAAGCTGAAACAGTTTTTAATGACTTGCTGTTCCTAACTGGCTGTTCGCGGCTTGTTTTTCCAGGACGTGTGTGTTTGTGTGTGTCTGGTTTTCTGCTGCACCGCTGGATTCAGGTCAGTTAAACACGCACGCGCACACGCACGCGTCTGCTCTGAATTCACATCCTGATTTCATAACTGTGACGTCAGACGTTCCTCCATCTGCTGGTTTCTCCTCATCTGTTTACTCTCACCAGAGGAAGGGTTTTGTGACCAGAAAATGTTCAAATCAGCAGATTTCAGTCGCTTCATCAGAGATTTCAGAGAAAATAATTCCTAAAGCAGAATCCAGACGTGGTACAAATCATCTCCTCTAAGTCCTAAAAACACTAAAGTTTGACCCAGAAGGAATAAAATTAACCTTCTTGTTATTGACACAGTTTCTGTGAGTCTTCCCTCATTTTCAGGGACTCCCTGATCCAGATTTGAATGGGTGACGTTTTCCCTTCTGACAAAGGATTCCCGTTAAAAAGAACCTTTATGAATCATTTAAATGATTTTATAATTATTGCACATCGGCTCACCCAGAAACCTCAGTCTGTAAATGATGTTTGTGGCTTATTCTGGTTTTATTTTTATACACGAACTAGAATCGGTCAGCTGTTCATCCCTCACGTCCCAAAGCAATGAAAACTGTTTGAAACTATTCCAAAACTTGGGAGAAAAGTAACGTTTGGGCTCCAGCTGTAGCCGCAGCGGTCACGACAACCGGATCTGGGTATTTCTCCGATGCTTGGTCAACAGGAGTTCCCAAAAATCACCCGGTGATCCAGAAGGATCCGGTATCCAGGATGGCCGGCTGGTCCGTATTCCACTGGTTCCATCATTCGTGCTTCTCTGGGGAAAATCTGGACTCGTTGAACGTTTCAGACGTTTTGGTTTTATTTAGATAGAATTTAGACATAAAAACTCAATTTTTACACCATTAAAACAACTTTATGCATTTGATGAACAACACAACCGTAAAAAGGTTTTCCAGAATAATTCCTTGTTTATTTTTCCAGATTGCGAAGGAGGTGACTGCAGCAGCGGCCCGACTCCTCCGTCACCTCCCACCTCCTCCTCTCCCTTTCTGGAGATGAAATCCTCCCATCTCTCCCAGGAATTCCTGGATCAGTTTGTCCAGGTGAATTCCTCAAACAGCGGGGAGCGTAAACACCGGGACGCCGGCGCCGTCATGCCCTTCGTCGGCCTCACCCGCAGTGAGTCCCTCTCTTTCGTCACTCTGGCAGATTCAGCAGTTTGCCTCCAACAGGCGGGGAAAACTTTCACCTGTTTGAGACTTTTTTTTAATTACTACTGGCCCGGAAAACCCAAAAGTCCCAGATGGGATGTGAAGTAAAAGCACCACGGGTAAAATTATCAGCTGCTGTGAGCACCGAGGATCCTCACAGGTGGAATTCCCAGTTTGGTGCATAAAGTAAACACTAATTAAAGCGTCCAGATGTTCCCGGTTTTGCTGAGGATTCCCATTTCCCTCCAGTCCGGTTTTAGTGTTTCTGTGATTTTTGGCCGTTTGCTGACGTGAAGCAGAGGAGAGCAGGAATGTGTCTCTGGTTTGTTTCAGATCCGAACCCACAGGCGGTGGGAAAATCCCAAACCCAGCAGGCAAAGTAAAGGAATGCCTGAATGGTTGATTATTTAATAAGGATTTTTGGTGTTTAAATCTTAGATTTTATTGGAAATCTAGATTATTCCCTCTTTGTTATTAATCCAACAAACCAGCAGGTTGAGTCCTGTTCCGATGAAGGACTTGGAGCAGAAAGGGCTCCGATCTTCCCAACAGCCCGTGGTGGTTCTGGATCAGCAGCTTTCCAGACTTTCTGGAGGTTTTTCCAAACACCCAAACTATGAAAATGGGATTGAAAAGGACGGAAGGACTAAAGTCTGCTCTGTTGACCTGATAGCTAAAATGTAGCCGTGACCTAAACGGGATTTTAGATTCCCACAGAGCTGCAAACTGGGATCAGCTAAAGGATGACGCCTCCCTCGGACGGTTTGGTTCTGTTGGAAGTTTTTTTAAGATCTGTATTTTCCTGTTTTGCTGTAAACTTGGAGAATTCCAGATTTCTGCTGAATACCTGAGTGGAAAATCAGTGGAATTCCTCCCGGATCCTCTGAATGCCGTTGCAACACGATGCTGCTTGGCTTTTAAGTCTGAGTGAACCGTATCTGATGATTTTGCTGCCTCCTGATCTGGAATTTCTTTGCTCCACAGGTGCTGATTTGAGTCGCAGCTGCTGCAAAAACGGAGGGACGTGTTTCCTGGGCAGCTTCTGCATCTGCCCGCCGTTCTTCACCGGGAGGAACTGTGACTACGACACCCGCATCAGGTAAGGCCTCAGTCATTCCGGATGCTGCGTGGTCCGTCCTGGAGTACGTAAGGACACAGATGTGCTTCTCTGCAGGAGGTGTGACTTCATTCCTCACGGGGAGTGGGTCCAGAAGGGCTGCTCCTACTGCCGCTGCATGTACGGCGTCCTGCACTGCGTCCCTCACGTCTTCCATAAAGACTGCGGTAAGGACGGATGCGCTCCTGTTCAGCATGCCCCGTTTGTGTTTAATCGTGTTGTTTGTGACCGAAGCCTTCAGGAGCACACACAGCTGCAGCAGGACGTTGTTTTTTTCGCAGCTGAAGGAGGTTTGGGGAGAAGATGAAACGTTAGAATTCCTCAAACACGGTTGGGATGCATTCCTGTGTTTCCTCCCTGCCGTTCACACGTTTTTAACCCGCAAACAAAAGCAGCTCTTCTGAGTGTAAATGAGTGTCTGCAGGCTCCTCCTGGTCATTTACAATCCTTTTCTCCCACTCCACATTCCCTCTTTATCTCCTCCTCAAACACAGCCGGGCCTTTTCCCATCACAGCTTTAACAGGAAACCGGTTCGACTGGTTTGGATGATTTCAGCTTTAATGTTGGAAAGTGGAATAAAAAGTGCTCTCCTGAACGTTTACGGATCCGATCGACCAAACCAGACTAAATTCCTTAGATGTGATGAGAATGTGAAGCAGTGCTAGTTTAGAGGCGGTGGGGAATTACAGCCTCCCAGAAGAAAGGTACGGAACACAAAAGTATCCAAAATTCAATAAATAAATAAGACATTATGAAATAAATATCTACACTAGACAATCATGTAATCTGACAGTGAAATGATGAAATGGTAAATGGTCTGTATTTGATATAGCGCCTTCTAGAGTCCTGGAACCCCCCAAGGCGCTTTACAACACAACCAGTCATTCACCCATTCACACACTGGTGGGGATGAGCTACGATGTAGCCACAGCTGCCCTGGGGCGCACTGACAGAGGCGAGGCTGCCGAGCACTGGCGCCACCGGTCCCTCCGACCACCACCAGCAGGCAAGGTGGGTTAAGTGTCTTGCCCAAGGACACAACGGCAGCGACAGACTGAGCGGGGCTCAAACCTGCAACCTTCCGATTACGGGGCGAGCTCTTAACTCCTGTGCCACCGTCGCCCCAATAACAGAATGTTATGTAAAATTTAAGCTCAATGTTATGAAATATTTTTCATTCTTCTTTTAAAATGTCTTTATTAATATAATGTGTTTTTCAAAAGTCAATTTTTCATAATAATCCAAATTAATATTGAGCCATTTTTATTTAATTCATTCAGTTTTTATTACATAACGACTTTTTAACACAGAGATCTTTTATTTCATAATAGTGTTTTTTTCCCATGGCTGATTTATTTCATAATGAGTCTTTACAGCAGAACGTCTCAGTCCGTCAGTCAAGCCAGTGGGTGTGACCTGCAACATCATTGGTTAAGCCTTCCACATCGTTTGGTGTTCCTGGATTTCTGCTCACCGCACATGACCGGACAGTTTAAGGTAGTTCTCTGTAACGCCTTCCTAGATCAATGGTCATGAAAGATGGCGGCGCTGCCTGAACTTAGTTTAGCTCCGGTTTCTTTGGCGGATCAAACAGAGTTGAATAGTTTGTCGGTAGACGATGTTTTGAGTTGTTTGGATGACATTTTTGAAGCATTTGGTTCGATACTTTGTGAGTGATTGCTTTTGTCTGACTGAATCAGCAGCCAATGACACACTGGCTCCGCCCCGTTAGTGTTGGCTGACGGACTGAGACGTTCTGCTGTAAAGACTCATTATGAAATAAATCAGCCATGGGGAAAAAAAAACACTATTATGAAATAAAAGATGTCGTTGTTAAAAAGACGTTATGTAATAAAAACTGAATCAATTAAATAAAAATGACTCAATATTAATCTGGATTATTATGAAAAATTGACTTTTGAAAAAAAACATTACATTAATAAAGACATTTTAAAAGAAGAATGAAAGATATTTCATAACATTGAGCTTAAATTTTACATAATATTCTGTTATTGGGGCGACGGTGGCACAGGAGTTAAGAGCTCGCCCCGTGATCAGAAGGTTGCAGGTTCAAGCACCGCTCAGTCTGTCGCTGTTGTTGTGCCCTTGGGCAAGACACTTAACCCACGTTGCCTGCTGGTGGTGGTCGGAGGGACCGGTGGCGCCTGTGCTCGGCAGCCTCGCCTCTGTCAGTGCGCCCCAGGGCAGCTGTGGCTACATCGTAGCTCATCCCCACCAGTGTGTGAATGTGTGTGTGAATGGGTGAATGACTGATTGTGTTGTAAAGCGCCGTGGGGGGTTCCAGGACTCTAGAAGGCGCTATATCAAATACAGGCCATTTACCATTTCATCATTTCATTGTCAAATTACATGATTGTCTAGTATAGATATTTATTTCATAATGTCTTATTTATTTATTTCATTTTGAATCTTTTAGTGTTCCATAGAAAGGAGGTTGGATCTGTAAACGCGTTTTTACAGAACATCTCGAGGAATGGGCATGACAGTGCTTTGATATGAGTATTCTCAGTATTAAAGCTGCAACAGCAAATTTAGAAAACAAATCAGCCTAAACATTTTCCATCTTCCCAACAATGCTCTTCCTTAGTAGAGCTATGAATATCTTGTGGAGGTTTAAAAAAAGAATAATGTGGTTCTCTCACAGTTGTTTAAAAACCTCCACCAACAACACGTTCCTGATCAAAATCAACCATCCAAGCATCCGGTTGTCGGTCTCGCCGAACCGCCGCACTTCCCTGGGTCCTCCGCTCATCCCACACTCACGTGTTCAGCACCATAACACCACCGGTGTGAGGTTCTGCGCTCAATAACATCAGCAGGGTATCCGCGGGTCCTTAAAAAGTCTTAAATTAGCTTTTCCAAATTTAAGGCCTTAAAAATCCTTAAAAATGGCAAATATTCCTTAAATACAGTTTCCAAAGGTCTTAAATGACCAAAGACCCAATAAACAAAAATCTTTTATTTCCATAAAGTTTTTGTAACCTTCTAGTTAGTGTTCAGCATTTTTTGTATACGATGTTGGCGTAAGCGGAACCGTACACATTCAGTTGGTTGCGTAAGGGGGCTATTTTTAGATGAGCACATTAGCTGGTTAAGCTAGTGGGAGCTTGCACCACGGGGAAGTGCAAGTTTAATGGTAACTGGATGGCTAATCCCACGTTCGCGACGAGGTTAGCACCGGTTCCAGGCAATAGCTTAAATAAAAAATTTTAAAAATAGCTTAAATTTGGCTCCCTTAAACCTGCAGATACCCTGATCAGAGAAGGAGAAACAGCCGGCTGCTACCGCTTCAGCTTTAGGACAAACGACAAGAGTCCCCAAAAAGAAAAACTCCATCTGACTTCACAGACGACGTTTGGAGCTAGAAAACGGTGACTGGTGTTTAAATGGTAAATGGTAAATGGCCTGTATTTGATATAGCGCCTTCTAGAGTCCTGGAACCCCCCAAGGTGCTTTACAACACAATCAGTCATTCACCCATTCACACACACATTCACACACTGGTGGGGATGAGCTACGATGTAGCCACAGCTGCTCTGGGGCGTACTGACAGAGGCGAGGTTGCCGAGCACTGGTGCCACCGGTCCCTCCGACCACCACCAGCAGGCAACGTGGGTTAAGTGTCTTGCCCAAGGACACAACGACAGCGACAGACTGAGCGGGGCTCGAACCTGCAACCTTCCGATTACGGGGCGAGCTCTTAACTCCTGTGCCACCGTCGCCCCGTTTAGCGCCGTCTCGTTTCCTCCGGCATCAAAGCGTCTCGGGTAAAAGGGGAGGGGTGGGTGTTCCGTGTTTGTCTTGTTCTGCAGTTTCGCCACAACATCCACATTTTTTTCTTTTATCTTCTGGTTTCATTTGAAATTAAAAGGAAACTCATAAGAGATCACATTTTCAGCGCGACATAAGCGAGGTTAGCTGATCAAAAGGAATGAAGTGAGACTAACCGACAGAATTCCCTTTGGTTTTGATTTATTACAGGAAACATTTATTTTTTAGTTTTATTCCTCCTCTCCAGTAGGAGGAGCTCTCTGGGTTAAATTATTATTTAGAGTTTGTTTCTTGAATTAAAGCTGTTTACCTTCTAATAACTAATTTGCTGTGAAACCGGTCGATATAAGCTGATGTCTGTGCAAACCCCTTTAAATCAGATCATTCAGAGCTGCAGCTTTACGCCACTTCCTGCTCTGAGTTTTACCTGCCAGGCGTTCTGCAGGTAGATCTGTAGTGTGAGGCACCACAAGAGGAGCTGTTCTCGTCCGGCGCTGGAGATAAACGTGCTGCTGGACCGGCGCTGCAGGACGAGTTTAGACATCGTGTTTAGGGAAATCTGCAGAAAGAAGGAAAAAAACAACCAAAAAGTCGCTAAATTATTGTCATCGTTTGTTTTCATTCTCCAGACGATTCAGAGGAAGAGGTCCGCTGGAACCGCTCATCGGCCGTCAGCATGAATCCGCTCACCCACTTCCTGTTCTTCACCTTCTCACTGCCAGTGTCTCTGCTGCTCACCCATGTGTTTACCTGAGACTGCCTCACCTGCAGTCTACAGCAAACTACCGACAGCAGGGTTGGCGGTATTATTGAGTTTATCGTACACCACTGGCAGCTGGGTCGCCGGTGGTGTACCGTATTTTATAGATAACTTTATTTACAACAAATGTGACACAAAACAGAGACTTGATGCACAGTGGGTTGGTTTTTGGAGTTTTATTTTGTTTAAGCTAAAAGATCGACGGATCTGTTTCCACTTGTGGAGATTTCAACACAAACACACGCAGACGCGACGATTCCCGTCACAAACACCGGGAGTTTCTATGACAACCACCGCAAATGAAGTTTTGCTTTTTTGACTCTCAGACAAAATGTGCATTCTGATTTTATTACTTAGCAACGCTGCAGAGAAGGAGACACCTGGAAAAGGATCAATGAAACCATATTTATGGGAAAGACGGAGACGACGGAGACCCTCTGAGCCCAAAGCTGAATTCAGCCAGATGGCTTTATTTATTTAAGAAAACGAACCGAGCCTTGGGTTTTCAGCATGTGTCTTCCTAACCCAAACCCTAATTATCTACGTCTCTATGTGTCCGTCAGCGATTGAAGACGTTTGTGTCTGCAGAAAGATGCTTCTGTTTCTCATCTCTAAAAACAAAACAAAGGAAACTTATTTTAATGAAGTCATTCGGCGTCATGACCAGATTTAGGTTGTCAGACTGAGCTGACCTGAACGTAAACGGGGAACCGTGTTTATTGCTGTTCCTGCTGGGACAGGAAAGGTGTCCCAGGTGTTGCGGGACCGGACCAGAACCCAAGCCTGCTCTGTTATCTGGAGGTATTTCCAGTGGGAGCTGTCGTCCACGCTTCTTATCTATGGATGAGCTCTAATTTGATTATCTGCTGCTCCTCTTATCTTAAACAAACACATCAGCTGTTGTTCTGCAGTTTGTCAGCATGCTGGATGAAAAAAATCCTGACTCAATAAACGGATTTAAAAGGTTTCAGTCTGTTGTCGTAGTTTGTTAAAAGCTGAAACTCGTTCAGACCGAAGGGGGAAACAAAAGTTTAAGAACAGACGTCATATCCTGTAGGTCCTATTTATGTTCACATGGAACCAGTTAGCCTCTACTGGTTTACACACACACACACACACACAGTGTTCACTATTACTCTACAAGGAGGGGGTGTTGATTCCAAGTGCGGAATCCCTCAGGGAGGATCAGAAACATAAAAAATGTCCCTAAGCCGATCAATAAAGTATAAATTACTATTATTGCTACGACTTACCTACTGTAATAATAATAATAATTATTATTATTATTAATACTACTACTTACCTAGTGTAATAATAATTATTATTAGCATTATAATTATTGTTATTACTGCTATTACTACTTACACTACAATAATTATTAGCATTATATTATTTTTATTATTATTACTGCTACTTAACTACTATAACAATAATTATTAGCATTATAATTATTGTTATTACTACTATTACTACTACTTACACTATAATAATAATTAGCATTGTTATTATTATTAATACTACTACTTACCTAGTGTAATAATTATTATTATTAGCATTATAATTATTGTTATTACTGCTATTACTACTACTTACACTATAATAATTATTAGCATTATAATTATTGTTATTATTATTACTACTATTACTACTTACACTATAATAATTATTAGCATTATTATTTTTATTATTACTACTACTACTATTACTACTTACACTATAATAATTATTATTAGCATTATAATTATTGTTATTACTACTATTACTACTACTTACACTATAATAATTATTAGCATTATTTTATTATTATTATTATTACCACTTACCTACTATGATAATTATTATTATTAGCATTATAATTATTGTTATTACTACTATTACTAGTACTTACACTATAATAATTATTAGCATTATAATTATTGTTATTATTATTACTGCTACTTAACTACTATAACAATAATTATTAGCATTATAATTATTATTATTACTACTACTACTTACACTGTAATAATTAGCATTATAATTATTGTTATTATTGTTACTACTACTTACCTACTATAATATTTATAATAATATAATTATTAGCATTATAATATTAATAATAATTATTATTATTACTATAACTCACAAACGTGTTCAAGTGTAGGAATAAGGAGTAAAAATGAAACTTAAAGGATCTGGACTCAAGCAGCAAAACAACCAAAGATGACCCAATCTAGAAGTTTCTCTGCTGCAGAGGAACCAGTAGGGATTACAGGGTAAACAGGAAGGCTTTTCTCTCTTTAATCTGAGTTTAATCCCTCTGTTGTTATTAACACAACCCATAATAAACCAATTACCAAACTTCTCTGACCAGTAAAAATCCTGTTAAATGGTGACGCGATTCGTGATTCACCTTTTTAAATTTAAAACTCCAAAGGTGTTCTTTTCTGCACAGAAGAGCTCGTCTGAAGGCTTCCTTCAGCGGGGTTGTAGAGCTGTAAGGAGCAGCAGGAGGACGGAGGAGGAGCTGCAGAGGGCACAAACAGATTTAAAACAGATTAAAGTGGACGTGAATGAGAGGAGGAATGTTAAACGAGTGTTTTCACCTCCTCCTGTGATGCCTCCCACCTCCTTGTGCTTAACATTTGTCTCTAAATGAAGGATCTGCGTAAACCAGGTGATCAGCTCAGGAACGTCTGCACGACTGTGTCGGAGTTGAATAAAGGTACGTGACGGATGGACAGAATCCAGAGAGACTAAAGGAAACTCAAACAGCAGCTCCGACATCTACGTCTCCATCCTTTGTGTCGTTAAACAGGACCAAAACTGTCTAGCCTGTCATTAAGGTGAGCAGCTCACAGCTCTCTACTGACCCCTACAGGCTCATCACTCCAATAAAAAATAAGGAGAGAAGCTTCCCAGTCCTAAAGGAGCTGCTGCTCCTCCTCATTGATGGCGTCAGCTGAGGTGGTTCCCAACCTTATTCGACTTGTGGACCCCTGAGTCGTTTTCTCGTACCACGAGCACCCCCCTTAGTCAACCGTGTTGATGATTTCCCAAAAGTAGAACGTACAACTGATCATTAAAGGACAATCATTTCATAAAATCCCAACGCTGAAACACGTCTCACTTCCTGTCTGATTGATAAATGCTGGTTTGTTTTTCGTTTGGTAGGAATGGGCCATATGGCCTAAGATCTACATGAGAATTTATTCTTTTATTCTGTTTATTTATGTCAAAATGACTGTTTACATTCTCACATATGAATTGCAGTGGAACAAATACTTCAAAAAGTATAGAATACATTTAATGTTCAAAATTAATTGAAAAAACTACAAAACCTTTTAAGTAGTTTTTACAAAAATACACAAAGCCTCATAAAATGAATAACGATGAAAATACTTAAATAAAATACAAGCTAAATGTATTTATTAGAAATTATAAATAGTTTGAACTGGAGTGAAAAATGTAAAAACACAAATAATGTTTTTCATTTTTTCATAGAAGTTTAGCTTCACTAGTGAATAACTGTAGGTAAAATTATGCTGCGGTACTTTTTTTATAGGTTTATTCTTTTTCTCAGCCTCTGGTTGAGCGTCGCTCTGATCAGCTGGTCTGGGGTCAGAGGTCAGACCCGCGGTGTGCACCTGCCGCGCGGAGAGAGAGAAGTTGCACTAAACTTTTAACGACAGAAGCAGCTGTGGATGAGTAAATCAGGAGATGTCCCAAACTTTATCTCAGGATCCTGTAGTTATAAAAGATGGACCTACATTTAATTTTTAATCATCTAAAGTTGTTTATTTAGACATATGTGTGTTTATGAGCCATGAAAACGTAGTCAAAGGTTTAAAAGAAATGACTAATAAATGACAGAGTAGTTCTCTGACTGGAAAAGGCAGGTTTCAAACCGGGAGAAGGCACAAGAAGATGGTGCAGCGTCATGGTGATCTTTCCTCTGAAGTTAGTAAAAGTTAGTCCAGCATGCTTTGCAGTCATTTATAATGAGTCAGCTATTATTTTAGACCATTTCAGACGTTTTATAGGTCTGAAAGATTGACACACTGTCTCCAGACAAGGAGCCAGTTTTTGTGTGTGCACAATAATATGTAAACTGCCCCAAAGTTCTTGTGCAGACCGACCCCCATAATTCAGGTCTGAAAATGAAGCCAACACGGAAGTGACAAAAATTGCAGTTCCATCCTCATCCACTAGGGGCTGGTGTCAGAAGCGAGCACATCCTCATTGACTCTCATGTTAAAAATACCAATTTCACAGCAGAAATAAACATGTTTACAGCCTGGTACCAGAACATGTTTTTGGTTTAAATTATCTAGTTTACACTCATGACAACTCTGAGGGGGGTGAATTTTTTTCTCACTCTTCTGTTTAAGTGTATTAAAAGCCTAAAATTCTGTATAATTAATGAGCATCAGACCCACGTGACCGCAGAGCTAGCTCCGTGGAAAGGCCTCAGTAGAGCCTCGGTCTGGCCTGAAAACTGTTCCGCCATTTCAGTCTCTCAACTTAGACCGTTAGTTGTGCCGTTTGTGTGTTCTTTTTGGATATTTTTTGTGCAATTGTTGGACAAAATGACTTGCTGTGGCATAAATTGCACTAATAGAGCGTCCAAGGAGTCTCCACTTCATTTATTTCGCTAAGTAAAATTATATTTATGTATTTTAGGTCATCGCCGAGCTGAACTTAGATTTTAACATGTACTGTTTAACCATGAAATGTAAATGTAATAGAGTAAAACCCAGCTAGACAGAACCTGTGACACGGTCAAAATGGTGGCGGTGGCCACCTCCCATTTTGGCTCAAAAATGTATAATTGGAGCCTACGGACATGAAATGTCCAGTATACATGTCGATGGTGCACACACATAAACTGGCCCAAGAAGTGTTTCCTTCTCTGGTGCATGCTGGGAGTTGTGGTTCGACTTGATCTTTTGTCCTTCATCATAGTTTATGATGCATTCAAAACCACACATTTAGAGTTGTGCAACAAAGTTTCTAAATGATTTAAAACCATTTTTATTACGTGGATTTTAAAGAGGCTGTAAGCTAACCTAGCAAAACTACAATGCTAAGCAGCTTTCCACGCAAACTTGGGATTTATGAAAGAAAACTTTGTGGAAAAATGTGCGCAACTTTAAGTTGACTAAGGACCTGGCTTACGCACATGTTGGACATGGAGAGCACCTGCAGTGCTGCTGCTGAGAAGGATAACATTATGAAATCCTGCAGCATTATCACTTGTACCGCTTCGTTTTCACACAGAACAAGACCCCCCACATGCACACACACACACACACACACACACACACACACACACACACACACACACACACACACACACATACACATGCACACACACTCGCGCACGCACACACGTGCGCGCACGCACACGCACGTACACACACACACACAGAAGCTCTGGTGTTGTGCACAGTTAACTCTGCTTATAGCTAGGTTGCTACCTCCGTTAGCTTAGCTCCCACCTCTGCGTTAGCTTTGGGTTAGCTTGTCGCTAAATTCACTTCAGTTAGATGGGTGTCGTCATTTGATCCCAGCCTTACAGCCACACCCTCAGCTCCACCTCTTTTCCCTTTTGTGGAATTGTCTATGGGAATACAGAATGTAGAATATCAGCAGGGGGACAGATTGAGAGAGAACATCATGCGTCTGTGACAGTGTGTGTCCTGTCACTGTGACCCAATTGATCATGCACCCTGGCTACTTGGACAAGGGAGATCTTCGTTTGGCTGACTGGTTAGCAAACGTGACGTTTGCCTGGGAGTCTGGGGATGGAATCCCAACTGGACCATTTTTTATACATCCGCCACAGATCTCTCTGAAGAACTCAGCATTGACGGCTTCAGCAACGCTGTGCCACTCCGTGGATTTTCTCTTATTAGTTTTGCAAAAGCACTTCCTTTCATTTCTCCACCTCACCCACAGGTACCTCAATTTCTGCTTCTGTGAAATTGCGCTTCCTTGATCTACGGTCGCCATGTCATTGGCGGAGCACTGCAACAGCCGGCTTATGTATAAGCATGAGATCCACAAGGCACTTTGCAATGACCATTTATGGCAGTAAGTGGGCGTGGTGAGGGTGGGATGTGACTAAAATGCAGCTGAGAAACATTCTCATTAGTCTCCGATTTATGAAGCAGAGATTGCGTGCAGCTGTGAGTCCTCCATGTTTGATACATCACTAACCTACTTGGCGTAAGTACCTATTTTTTGCTGAGCTTAAGTACGGTTTTAGTAAGGATTTTACGCCATGTTTGATAAATGAGACCCCCAACCTGTATTGGATTGTTTACTGTGTGAAGGTCCTTGAGACGACCTGTTGTGATTTGGCGCCTTATAAATAAACTGAGTTGAATTTAATTGAAATAAATAATTTGAGGAAAACATCCATATATACTGACCTAAATCTGTCTGTCTAGTGAAAGTGAGAGTGAGAGAGAGGTTTATATATATATATATATATATATATATATATATATATATATATATATATATATATATTTATTTATTATAATCATATCATTAGTCGATGTGTGCATCTGCAACAGGCTTCTGTCATTGTTGAGGTTGTTCATTTAATATGTACCTACTAAGTTGTAAACCTAGATGACTCTGAACCCATGAGGACCACAGATGAGCTCCAAGTGAAGTAAACAGGAACCAACTGGTCACGGGTTCACGCGCTTTCACGTTCCGGCTCTGCTGCGAACATTACCGCTGAGCTGTGATTACGACCCTGGTGCCTAAGGGCTAATCCATGTGACATCAGCGTCTTTGTGAGCACCAAGCTGTGAGACGGGGCGGTTCTGGAAACAAGCAGGAAAACATTATTATTATTATTATTATTATTATTATTATTATTATCCAACAGTTGCAAACGACCTTCTCCGAGCAATAGGAACACAAAATAACACAGGTGTCCTTGTAGAGGGGACGTGCAGAGAAGTGACATACGAGTCTGATGCAATGCCAAAAGTTTCTATAAAAACTGATATAATAATAATAGTAATAATAATAATAATAATAATGATAGTAGTAATAATAATAATGATAGTAATAATAATAATAATAATGATAGTAATAATAATAATAATAATAGTAATAATAATAATAATAATAGTAGTAGTAGCAGTAATAATAATAGTAATAATAATAATAATAATAATAATAATAATAATAATAAAATAATAATAATAATAACAGCAATAGTAGTAGTAGTATAGGAAAATGTAGATATTAACAAATACATAAAATTGAAAAAAAATATAAAGATGCAGAAAAAAAAAAGTATCAAAGTATGTAGAAGAAAAGTATGTCAAGCCATTAATGTATTTAATCAAAAAGTTTCACTTTAGGTAGTCTTGTGAGGATCTCCAGAACTCATCAGGTCACAAAGTGTTAAGGAGATAAAAACTTTGGGTCGACTAGTTTGGTTTAGCCGGATGTTAGCTGACTAGTTTCACTTTACTTCTGACTAGTCGGACAAAAGAGTCACCGGTTTGTAAAAAACTTTTATTAATGAGTGCTTTTATATGAACTAATATGATCAGCATACGCAGCGTGTTCGTTACTAACAGAGCACCACGATGCCCCTCATCAGAGAGATCAAATAAATACATAAACGGCTTGCCCTAGCACGATGAGACAAAAGAGAGATGCGCCTTCAGTGGAAAGACAAAACAGAGAGGAGAGCAGGAAGAGACCACCCGGCCTCAGACTGCGATGATGAGCGCAGCTCGGATTCATGACAAACTCAAAGTCCAGTCGTTCTGGGAGCAGAAGATCCTGCAGCACAGCCGTCAGATGGATGAGGAGGAGAACCGTGTGAGGAGCAGCGCTCTGGCTCGGTCAGGAAACACAAAAACTTTACCTGTTTACTGTTTTAGACCGGGAGTGACCGGGCTGCTGTCGCCATGGAACTCTGGCTTATCAATGTGTGAACAAGCTCATCAGGTAAAGGTGTTTGGTGTTCTGGCAGAAGATCCACGTTTCAGGATGGATGAACTTGTTGCTGTGGGATCAGGGAGGATAGGAAGATTAAAAATAAACTTCTTCGGCGTCATGTGAGCCATCATTACCAGTAGATGAGTTCTCTAATGCCTCGGTCATGTTTGCAGCTTGTTCGTCTGTCATCAGGCTCCAGCCTGAGAATGTTGATTAGAGGCAGCCCGGCTGCACGCTCCGATACCGGAGATCAGAGGGAATATCCGGGAACAGATGAGCTGCAGATCAAAAAGCATAAACTGACAGACACAACAAAATCACAGAGACTCTGAGTCCGACACGAACAAGAAGCGCCGGGGATCAGCTGTCACCTGGGTCACACATTACAGAAAGAGACATGATCTAAAGCAGGAAAGGGTTAAAAACTAAGCTTTCATGCTTCAACAAGCTAACAACAAGCTAACTGGAGGAGAAAAGAAAAGAGCTGAGTAAAAACATGTAAAAACCGTGTTTATTAGATGGAATTTGTGTAAAAGTGATGCTTTTCACCCACAAGATCCAGAAAGAAAAGGAAATATAAAAAGATAAACGCAGAGAAAACAAAACAAACACAAACACCAAACAAAACAAAAAAACACCACCCAGTACTTCAAAAGGCAGCTTACACTCACAGCCACAGACGGATGGTTACCATGGTAACCCTGGTGAGTCTGACAGCTGCTTTAACATTTCTGTGCACCCTGGTCACAGCTTCTTACGCTTACTAAGAAACATTTGATCTCAGACTGGACTATCACAGAGTCGATGCTGAAGTTGCGGTTCGTCTGTTCACCTCTAAACATCTTCAGCTCCTTTAACTTCTGTCCTGCAAACATTTTGTTGTCTCGTCTCTGCAGCAGAGATCATACAGAGTTGTGCTCCAGTCTGATGCTTCTGTAACTGATCTGTGACTTCTCTCCCTCCCCTCGTGTCAGACTCAGGCAGCAGTGGATTCTCCGTTTGGACCAGAGGAACCAGCAGCAGCAGAACTTCTTTGAGGAGAGAAGAAAACGAGTGCAGATAACTCAAAGGTTTCTGTAAAAGCTACAAAACTAACAACACCCATCAGCTGCGGGGGGCACGAGCCGGAGTCCAGGTTTCACTGGGACACAAATATGGAAAGAAAACAAGCTGAAATCAACCAAACATGTGATAGAATCAGATCACCCCAGAAGTCAGTCCCACATTCAGGGCCGTATCAAGGCATTTGGGGACCAAGGCAAATATAGGCTTGGAGCCCCCACCACCTCACTCCCTGCTCAGTTAATCTAAGATGGCAGCATGCTGAGAGTACAGATTGTTGTTGCTTTCATTTAATAAACAATCATTTTAAAGAACTGTTATTATATCTGACTGTTTTTAACAGCAACCCTAGCTCAGACACCACATCACCTTCCACATATATGTCATGAGCTCACTGAGCGTCACATGACCAGATTCATACTGAAGTTGTACTGGTGAAAGTAACTTAAAGTAATGCAACAGTTGTGTAATGCCTTACATTTTAAAATAAGTAATATTGTAATGTAATGAATTACTTTAAAATTAGGGTAACAAGTAATAAATAATGCATTACAGTTTTGAAGTAACTTGCCCAACACTGCTGATAAAAGGTAGAAAAACCAGAAAGTTAGAAAAGATTATTTTGATGAAAGAAAAAAAAGTCTGGTGTGATCCAGTCAAGCTGTGACCAGAACCGGTTTACCCATTAGTGCTGTTCCGGTTGCAATCGCTGACAAGGTTCTTATTATCTGAGGATATTTCTGAGTGAGAATTCTTTTCATCATTGCATCTGTGTGAGGTTGTTAATGTGACCACGTGGGGGCAGCAGCACACAACACCACGTGTTTGTTCAGCTGCTGGAACACTGGACTCAGTTTTTCTCCCCAGTACAGGAACAGCCCAGTCATCTCTAACGTTTGTGTAGGAAAACAGGAAAAAGGCAGCGCGAGGACAGAGGTAGAAGTTAAATAATGCTGAAAGACGCAGGAGCTGGTCATAAACGCAGTCACAGAGAAAATGTCTGCCCCTGATGACCTTAGACCTGAATTTTCCTCACAAGAAGAGCTCATCCAGCGGAAATAAGAGCAATTATAAAATATAATTCAGGTGAACCAGCTTCATCATAAAAAGTGCCCTCGCCTGAAGAGAAACATGCTCCTGAACTACTTAAGACCATTAACTGTCTTCTCTAATCGCTGGACTTTGACACCCCCCCCCCCCCCCCACCCCCACCCCCCACCCCCCCCGTCGGACATTTGTGTGGACACTTGAATACTAAGAGCTCTCTGGACCATTGTTAAATAATAAGACCCGTAATCAGGTTTTGTCCATAAAGCTCGGATGTCTTTTAATGGATGTTGAGCCTGAAACGAGTCCTCGGTCCGGTGTCGTCCTCTCTGATCACCAACGTGATGGATGCAACCAGACATGACAAACTACATTTAAACCACATGAGAATGATTGATGATGACGATGATGATGCTGGTTACATCCCGGCTGGCTACGAGAACAAAGCAGGTGGTGCTAGCAAGATGTTTCAAATAATCCAAATTTTATTTCAACGAAGACGAGGCACTTCAACACAACACAAGAACATTTCCTTTTCTACATTTAAATAACCAAAAATAGCCCAATGGGAGACAAACCATCCGCCCATCCATCCATCAATGGTCTGAACCCACTTTGTCCATGTGGGGTGGCCGGGGGGGGGGGGGGGGGGGGGGGGGGGGCGCTGGTGCCTATCTCCAGCGGTCAACGGGCAATCAGGCGGGGTACACCCTGGACAGAGAGCCAGTCCATCGCAGAGCAACACAGAGACACACACACACTCACACCTAAGGACAATTTAGACAGACCAATCAACCTAACAGCCATGTTTTTGGACTGTGGGAGGAAGCCGGAGTACCCGGAGAACCCACGCATGCACATGAAGAACATGCAAACTCCATGCAGAAAGATCCCAGACCGGGATGCGAACCCAGGACCTTCTTGCTGCAAGGCAACAGCTCTAACCACTGTGCCACTACGCAGCGAGAGACAAACCAAATGATCTCATTAACTAAACACAAAAAACTGGATAAAACCTCACGGCAGACCTATTTACAACCAAAACAGGAATGCTTTAAATAACCAAACACATTCTTCTTAACTAAGACAATGGAGAGTACACAAATTAATACCAGACAGAAGTTCAAAGCTTAAAGCACTCACAAGACTAGACACCCGAGTCAAACACAAAAGAGAAAGGATTCTAACGAACTACTCATTTACTCGACAAGTCGTCCACATGACAATACAAAGAATAAGCTCAAACTAGGCGGACTCACTCACACATTCGCTCACAAACAAGTTCTTCTCAGAACACACAAGTTTACAAAACAAGTTTTTTTCCATAGTGATGTGACCTTTGAGTCGATGCTTCAAAGCATGTGTTGGTTAATCCAGGGAGATTATTGTGAAGCATGCATCGAGGCTTGTTTCGATTATGTATGTAGTGACGTTCAATGCATCGCTGGCGGTCTGTACCTAGGGATGGGTACCAAATTTGGTACTTTTTAAGGTACCAACCAAATTCCACAGTACCGACCGAGCACCGATTCACGTCATTTCAAACGGTGCCTCGTTTTGGTACCCGTCCTTCATAATGAGAACTTGCCAAGACAACTGCGCATGCGCAAGAGCATTATGTCGTCGGTCGCTGCGAGCGAGTTGTAAACAGAGCAGCATGGTAGAAAGAACGCACGCTAAAGCTTGGGTCCACTTCACTAAATGTGATGGGTAACTGGGTGATGATGAAACCAGCGACAACGATCTAAGTGAGACATCCTCATCTTAATCTGCTCTGGTAGGTAAATAAAATGTTTAAGATAACGTTAGCTTGATTTGTTAGCTTCTGTTTCGCTAATGGTGCGTTCGCTTTCTCCTCGGAACTCCGAATTTCCGACTAGAAGAACATGAACGCGCTCTAAAGTTTGGCTTCACTTTACTAAATGCGACGGGTGATTGGGTGAAGATGAAACCAGCGACAACGATCTAAGTGTGAGGCATCATCGTTTTAATCTGCTCCAGCAGCTAAATAAACTGTTTAAGATAACGTTAGCTTGATATGTTAGCTTCCATTGCCACCACTGTTATCAGCTAATGGTGCGTTCGCTTTCTCCTCGGAAATTCTAACTTCCCAGTAGGAAAAATCAAATGAAAAAGACAGCAAAAGGAATGAAGATACACAGTAAATTTAATTCACAGTAAATATGTTTGCTTCAGTTTAATTATCAGCTTATAAAACTACAAGGACGATGTTAAAATACAAACAGTTGTTTGTTATTTATCGTGATATTTATCAAATATGGTTATATATTGAGAAAAATATACATTTAATTATAAAAGAGAATTAAAATATTAAACACTCAAAAGTATCGAAAATTGGTACCGTTAAGTACCGGTATCGATTCCTAAGTACCGGGAATTAGTACCGAATCGATTCAAATGTCAAAGGTACCCATCCCTATCTGTATCACATGATCGATTCAGAAACTGGCTCGCCGCTTTGTGCGGGATTCTACTTAAACGGGGCAGGAAAACAACTATCACATTTTGATGTGGAGCTCTACATCGTAGTAGATATTCAGCACTTATATATTGCCATCACAAACATCATTGATTTATTTATAAGGTTCCTGTTCAGCTTAAACTGTCCACCTGGTGGCGCAGCAGAGCAAATAAATCATCACAATGCCTCTAATCAAGAGTTGATCAGTTGGAGGGAAAGCTTCAAGTGCATCATCTTACCATCACTGCTTCTCTGAACAAAGCCACAAACGCGAGGACTACAGCACAAATCTGGGCCCCCTGCAGGTTCAGCCATTCAAAGGCTGCGCTCTCCAAATGCTGATTGACTTGTCTCTCTCCAAGGTGCTGAACCTTGTGCGGGCGCTGTCCAGGGTGCTGATGAAATTATGGAGTCCATAACACCCCCACCTTAAAACAAAGAAAGAAAATTATTTCTTCATGATGATGAGAATAATGACAGGCTAGGGGGTGGAGTCCAAGAACACTCCAGAGTTTCTGCAGCCATTTCTGGGTCTCTTCTTTTTGGAGTCAGTCAAAAGAAACACAGACTCAGCAGAATGTTCAGCATCACTACCACATTATCCGCTGTTGTGTCGATGTCACATATGAACTCTGGGGTCTGACCCGATTTGACGAGCCCCGCCCACTAGAGCCGCCTCACAGTTGTAATGAAAAACCATCCAAACCATCTAGAGTTTAACTGAGCTGTAGGTACACATGGAATAGGGATATTATTGACTTTCATTTGGTTCTGTTTTCCTTGCTTTGTGGTGTAGATGTTGAAATAAAAACGAGGTTGTAGCTAAATTCTTGCGACGCACCAAGAAGTCAAAACTTACCTTGATGTTCATTTAAGGCTGAAAGAGATTAAACCTTCCAGCATATTTCCATTCATGTGCACACGTGCACACCTTCATTTGATAATTTTTCTTGATTTCTTGGTTAAGTTTTAAGATCTTAGACTTTATGAAAAGTGTATTATTATGGTCTGTGAGACCAACATTATGTACAATCCAAATAGTTTTTTTAAGTCTAAATACTGCCTCCAAATGTCTACTGTAGGTATTACCCCTGACCGCTACGCAGTAGCTAAGATAGGGGTGTGAGGTTCTGTGTGTGTGTGTGTGTGGATCCTCACCTCTTCTCCTCAGGTGTGACAGGCAGGCCGCACCAGGTGCCATCGATCAGAGGCAATCAAGGTGGAGCACTTAAAAGCAGGCCGGAGGAGGAAAGCAGATGCTAGATGATTAAGCCACACAGCTTGGTAATCAGGTACGATGTGCTTCCCAGTGTTTTTCTCACGAGTGATGTTTTGTCTCGCAGCCGTCCCGACCTTCTGAGTTCCCAGGATCTCCCAGCGTCTTCCCTGAACCGTGGTGTCTGCTTCACCCAGTGCTCCTCCTGGCTGCAGTGCTTCAGCTCTGTCATCCATGCCCTGTTGGATCCTCCTCTCCTCCACCTGCCTGTCCACCCTCGAGCCTCCAGCAAAATCTCAACCTCAGCCTGCCACACTCCCACACTGGACCTCACCTCCCCTCCAAACACTCCTCGCCACGCAGACCAGTAAGCTCTCCCCCTTCAATTCTATTATCAGAACAGTCTCCTTGCTCCTCGACTCACCTTCTGTCTCCCCTTCAGAACCGCCTCTGCGAACCCGTCCAGAGTTCCTCCACCGTTCTGAGAACCCGCTGAACTTTCAATAAAACTGTTAAACTTTCTCCTGTGTCCGGGTGTGTTCGCTCCAGAGTCTCCTAGAGAATCATGACAAGGGGAGAATAAATGCGTAATGCAAGATTAGTAGAGCTTTGTCGTCCAGAAGGAATTTACATTTTCTCATAATTGCAATATTCTTTGCCAATTTCTTTTGTATACTATGTATATGAGATCTCCAGCTGATATTGT